ATACAAATATTTCACAAACCAGTGTATTTGACACCCACATTCATGACTGCCGAAAAGTCAGAAAACAGTCCAGATCCCATTCATTTAGAGTCTTCTTATTTTCTTTCATCTTTTTTTTTGTTTACTTTTCTTTCGTTGTTTTTTTGTTTTTTTCTACTAGTTTATTTACAAAATTCGAATACAAATTCGAACAAATTCTTTTCATTTCCCTCACTCCCCCACCCATCAAATTGTACAACCTGATGATTAATACCCCCGCCTCCTGCACATCCACATCGCTCTGCTTTCAGCCTCTCCCACCCCTCCTGGATCCTTATACTCATTCTACAATAATGGTTTTATACAATATTTATCCTTGTGAGACGGAGTTAGTTCATTCAGCATAATGCTCTCCAGTCCCTCCCAAGTTAGGTAATACTTTACAAAATTATTGTTCCTGCATGCTACATAGTATTCAACTGTGTGAATGTACCATAATTTCTCAATCCATTCATTTGTGGTTGGACATCTGGGCTGTTTCCATGTTCTTGCAATGGTGAATAATGTTGCGATGAACACTGGTGTACAAATCTCTGTTTGTGCCTAAATTCTCATATTCTCAGAATATTCCAAGTAGTGGAATAGCTGGGTCATATGGAATTTCTATGTTCAGCTTTTTGAAGAAACGCCAAACTACCTTCCAGAATGCTTGTACCATTTTACAATCCCACCAATAATGTATAAGAGTTCTTTTCTCACCAAATCCTCTCCAACATTTATTACTTGCTGCCCTGCTAAACTTTGCCACTGTTACTGGAGTAAGATGGTACCTCATTGTGGTTTTGATTTGTACCTTTCTTACTGCCAGTGATTTTGTGCATTTCTTCATGTGTGTTTGCCATTTGAATATCTTCCTCTGTGAATATTCTTTCCATGTCTTTTGCCCATTTTGTAATTGGGTTATCAGTCTTTTTCTTGTGGAAGCCCAGGAGTATTATGTAAACTTTTGTTAAGACTCTTGTCTGAAATGGCATTACCAAATGTTAATTCCCAGTCTGTAGGTTTTCTTTCCACGCTGTTGGTAAAAGTTTTTTAACCTAAATAGAGATACAAAAGACCTATACAAACAAAACTCCAGAGTATCTCTGCAAGACACAATAAAAGACCTAAAGAAATGGAAAAATGTGCCCTGTTCATGGATAGAAAGACTGAATATGGTGAAAACAACAATCCTACCAAAAGCAATCTACATGTTCAATGCAATTCTAATCCAGATACCAAATTCCTTTGTCAAGGAGATTGAAAAGGTTATCAAAGTTATTTGGAGAGGCAAGAGGCCTGAATAAGCAAAACACTTTTGAGAAACAAAAATTAGTTTGGAGGCATAGCACTCCCTGACCTCAAAACCTAATACACAGCAGTAGTAACCAAAACAGCATGGTCCTGGTGCAATGACAGGCAGAATTGAGAAGCCAGAAAGAGACCCAGCTTCTATGGTCAACTGATATTCAACAAGGAAATCAAAGCTGTCAAATGGGGAAATGATCTCTTCAACAAATGGTGCTGGCAAAACTGGACTTCTACTTGCAGAAAGGTGAAATAGGATCCACTTCTCACACCACACACAAAAATCAACTCAAGGTGGATTAGAGAGACCTGGGAGTAAAACCCAAAACCATACCTTGATAAGAGACAATCTGGATTCAAGCTTAGAAGCGTTAGTCCAAGGTATAAAAAGACTGCCTAATACAACCAGAAATACACAATCTACAGAGGATAAAATTGATGCATGGGACCATCTAAAGATTAAATCCTTGTGCACATTTTCCTTCATCTTAAGAGCTTCTGAAAGCAAACTGAATGATGCTGGGAAAAGAGCATGCACAGTGTCCAGTAGAGGAGAGACTCATGAAGAACCCAGGGATATAACCAAGGAGTCTGGCTTCAGTCACATGTGCCATTATCTCCCAAACAATCATGATTCAAAAGATGATGATGCCCAACCACTTTTTCAAGTGTCCATCAATGAGCCAATGGCTAAAGAAACTGGTTCATGCATACAATCAAGTATTATGCATCACTAAAAACTGATCCAGAATTTGTAAAATACTGCACAACATAGATGAATCTAGGACAAATTATGCAGTATGACATAAATCACTCAAAAGGCTAATTATGATATTAAGATCATTAATACAAAATGTCTATACACAGAATCAATCTTGGAGGGAGGGGGTGAAAAACTAATAAACAGATAAATTGGGTGACAACAAAGACAATATACAGTAAACATCTGATTAAGATGTGATAGACACTATAATTAAATAATTAATTTTAAACATGTCTATTAATTATTAGTTGGAAATTCAGTATGATTTATAAACTTTCACTTAAAAAAAAAAAGAGATGATGTCCAACCACTTTTAAACTTAGATTTCTATCTCTTCACTCACAAGATGCCTCAGGGGTTAAGAGAATATAAGGCAATCTATTGAGCTCAGGATTCTCATCGGTTACCTGTATTTAGAAAACTACATAAACTCAAAGGGTATGTAGCAACTAAGGGAAATAGCAGCCCCTCAGATGCAAATATATAAAACCCTCAGGCATTCTAAGTTCAAAGCAGTGTAGATTTCTAAAGTATCCACTAGTGAAGTTAGAGCCTATACACCCTAGAAAGTATGAAGTAGGCAAAACAGTTTTGAGTTCAATTTTAGTCTTTAGTTCAAGAAAACGAAATCAAGACTAACAAAAGCACAGCAGTAATCTCACCCACTCTACACACCCACATATACATACACACCACACGGACACAAAGAGAAGTAGATTGCAGTGCTCTCCCCTAGTCTTCCATTTCCACAGTTTTCATAAAAAGAATGTGGTAGAAGAAACAGTGTTACTTTGAGATAGGTTATACTTGGTAATAAAGGAATTAAGCATCATTACTTTCTGGGACCCTTTTAATCCTCTAGATACTAACCTAACTCTTCCCTCTACGTAGACTATTTAAAGTTTGGTTTATTCCAATACAGTAAGTTAAGGGTTAAGGCCACTGCCTCAGAAAGAAAATAAGAACTTGGTTCAGCTCCTCCCTCTCTAAAGCAAATACCAACAACACAGAGCCAAATCCACTCAGCATACACAAGACTCCACTGACATTCCAAAAACAGGTGAATACAGGTACCTCACCTTAAAGCACCATACATTTCTTAAGTTTCTTTCACAAATGTGAAGAATATACAAGTGCTGAATAAAATTAAAGCACATATAAAACTTTACCAAGGAATTTAAAAAGTATTTGTTAGTCACAAAAGTCACTATAAATCAACAGGAATAGCTAAAAAGTTGGGCTAGAAAGGTCAGACAGTATCCATGGAAACAAAATAAAAAGATACAGAAAAGAGAAGGAACATGGGCCTTAGAAACAGTTTTAGAAGGAAAGTTCTGAGGGTCAAATCTTAACCTAAAGAAACAGAGAGAAATAGTGTCATCAAAGAAGGAGGCCACTAATAAATATAACCCTGCACTTCTGGAGGGAAAAAGATGCTCCTCAAACAAAAGTCTGCAGTTACTGATAGTCCATAAGTCACTGCAAAGGCCAGTCCAGGAGCACAAGGTTCTGTTACAAAGAGGTAGAAAGAAATGAGTCACTATTTTAATTCTGTTTAGTATTCGTCAATCTCTGTGTCACAAAGAACATTTCCTTCTAGTTTCTGTCATTTGTTTTCTTCACAAACTTTTGGAACTGGGTCAGAATGCTGGGAGGGGGGAGAAGAAAAGGGGAAAAAAATAGGAACATTAAATAAAACTATTTGCTCGGTAGAAGGATACTGGGATAGATGTGATCACCTGGAGAGGGGACTAACTATAGTTACAACTAGACAATAATGATTAAGATCCAAGACTTTTCTCTTCTTATAGACAATTCCTCTTTATCTTTCAAAGCTTTTCCACTAAAAAGGAGATAAAGGGAGTGAAAAAGATTTAACGTGGATAAGAGACTGGAACATGATACAGTTACACGAACATCACCAGTCTCCCTTCAGATCAGAATTCGAGGCAATTGGCACCTGAGGAAAACTACTCTTCTACTGGTAGAAAAAGGAATGTCAATCTTCCTGAGGCACAGGAGATGGCAGAAGAGGAGATAGTTATCACAGGAAATGTATAGAAAACAATTCAGTTGGACACGCACTTCTTGAACTTAAAGTCTAACTTCACACACACACACACACACACACACACACACACACACACACAGAGGAAGGTTTATTACCATCCTAGGTCAAGAAGGGTTTAATGCCAAAGAAGTTTTAGATGACAGAAAAGTGATAAGCAACAGGGCAAAGCGGCGGATTCTACGGATCGAGCAACACAGGGAAGCAAACGAAAGTCATGCCTGAATGACCTGGGAGCCCGGGCAAAGGACCAGTGATCGCAAGGACAAACGTCCAAGGGAGGAGGGAAGGCAGGGCCCAAGTCAGGTAACATTCCTAAGGGGAAGGATTATCAAGTGGCACCGGGCTGAGGGCCCAGCCAGGGGACAGAGCGGGAGGAAAGTTAGCAAGTAAAAGGGATCAATCATGGGAAAGGAAGTGACCTTTAGGAGAAGGAAATAAGAGAATACCTAAAAAGGAGGAAGGGTAATAAGAGAAAATAAACCCAGGAAAGCACAGGGGGCCAAGGCAGAGAAGGCGTGTTTGGGTAATAGAGGAAGAAGAAAGGAAGTGAGACTCCAGAGCAGAGATGCGGCTGGGAGCCGGCTGAGGCGACGGGGCTGGAGGGCGAAGGAGCCCCGAAGACTGCCTAGCCAAGGGCTGGACGGGGCTCCGGGGCTTCGCGAGGTCCTGGAGGGTGGGGATGGAGGGCTGCAGGGCTCAAGACCGAGCGAAAAGAAGGGAGGCGCGGGGGCGGTTCCCGAGAGATGGGAGGATTCCCCTGGGGTCGGCTACGGCTATGCTGGGGTTCTCGAGGGCGGTTACCCAGTCGGGTGGAGGGAGAGAAGTGGGAGGGACACTCACAAATTTCTTGGATTTGCTGCCATCGCCGCCCGCTGGAGGCAGCTCGTCCGGGCTCCGGCCCTTCTTCTTGTCCCGGGTCCCGCGGCCGGGCCCCAGGTTCCCGCCTGGCGGTTCCATGTCCGGATTCGCGCCGGCTTGTGGGCCCCGCGCCTACGCCGCTCCCGCCCGGCTGCTCCTCGCTAGCAGCCACCAGCACCACCACCACCGCCACCACCCAGCAGATCCTCAACCCGCCGCCGCGCCCCGCCTCATTAGCATGCCGGGCTGCGCGCGCCTCATGAATATACAACGATGACGCCTTGCTCCCGCCCGCCTGCCCCACTTCCGCCCGGACCCGCAGCTCCTACCAATGGGAGAAGGAAGGGGGGTGGCGGGGAACCGCTACCTGCCCGGCGGGCCTAACCATTCAGTCCCACGTTGGGGGCGGGGGGTGGAGAGTGGGCGGTGCAGTAATTCTCGGTTGTAGCGGGTAGCCGCGCCCCCTGGTGGATAGACAGGTACAGAGCAGGCCTCTCCCAGGTCCCACGCAGCGCCCACGTGCTGTCAAACCTAGATCCGCTCATACCCCAGACCAAAATATTAATATCTGAACAACAAAAAATAAGCCTATTATAGGGACTATTTGTCTGACAGAAAATTTAGTGCTAAGATTATGCATTTTTTATACGTGCAATACCAATGGAGCACATTTTTTAAGTAAAAAGATGAGTTACTCTTTATTGCCTGCAGCGCCGTGCAGTATTTGAGTCGACACGTTAACAACCATCGCCATTTGTTGAAAGCCGTGTACCAAAAATCGGGTTTATTCCAAGGTAAAAGTTAATCCTCAACTGGACTAACCCTAAACCTCATTTGAATCTCAGGTAAGTACTTTCTCACTCATTAATTTATTGCTGTCAAATCGTAACTGACTCATAGTTGACCCTTCATTAGGTTTCCAAGGTTGAAAAAAAGAATGGCCATTTTTCTCCAGAGAAGCCACACTGCTGGATTTGAACTACTAGAGAAGTGTGGGCTTTGAAACAGCAGTGCTATTAAGAGCCTACCAGAGCTCTAATTGTTTATAATCTGAGTAAAAAATTTAAATTCATTGCCATCAGGTCAGAACTAATAGCTGATCCTACAGTAGATTTTTCTGAGGTTGTAAAATAGCAGGGGAGGAGATGTTTCATCTTCTCCCGCAGAGCTGCTGGTGATCCAAACTGCCAGAGGCACCACGTTTGGATTAGTAACTCAACTTCCTACCAACTAGGCCACCAGAACTCCCTAATTTAGGTAAACTAATTATTGCAAAATTGATCTACATGGTAACTGTTACCATTTACTGTGTAATTGCCTTGCCTTAGGCTGGCCCTGTGTGCAAAATACTAAGGTTGAATGTTTTACACATTATTTTTCTCTCATCAGGTCTTCAAAATCATGTGATAGATTCGATTAGACTCTAGTTTATGGGAAATTCAGGCTTTGAGAGCTGAAGTAACTTGCCTAAGGATACACTGTTGTTGTTAAGGAAAAAAGCTTTAAATCCAGGTTAGTCTGTCAAAATGTTTAACCAGGATTCCCCCGATATAAGTCAAACATGAGTGAAAGGATTTATGTTCTCGAAGAAATGTGGTCTTCTTTCAGCGATTTCAGACTTTTGCCCCACTGAAAAAACCCTGAGAGCCAGCAGCCCCTCACATGCACTTTTCTGGAGGGTAGTCGTTCTTAATTACTAAGGTGTTCCCAATGCTTAGTCCAGGGCCTCGTGTGCTGCAGGGACTCTGTCAGAATAGCTGGCTTCTAAATCTTGAGACCTTCTAATTCAAGATGGAAAGCTGCATTGACGTGTACAAACCACATTTGAACTCAACTTGCACAAAACAAACTCCAAAAAGCTACTTACTTCTAACATAAAGTGTTATGAAATGGGAGCAAAGGAAGATGTATCTATTATTCTTTCTTACACCACTGTTTATATTTAACAACTGCGTATCAATTTCTAGCTTCCCTTCAGTGTATAGCCTCCAGGGAAGGATCTATGTCTGTGGCTACTATAACATCAAGCGCTATTCTTCACATTAAGAATTATTTGCCAGACACTGTGCTATGCACTGGACATACTTCAACTCAATATATTGTCACCAAATAGCATTGCTGTTCCAACCAAGTTCAAAACGAGTCATCTTCTATTCCTCTTAAACTAGTAGCCTGTACAGTTTTATCTAGCTCTTAATCGGAATGCTCTATTAACTCCCTACATAAGATGATCTATTTTACACATGCAGAATATGTACATAGCAACTAATAGTGTTAAATGAACATTTAATGATTTTTCATATATATCTATATCATCACCCCTATCCCACTTCTCCCTTTACACATGGAGTGCTAGCAAGAAATAAGACCATTCCCAGAAACACAAAGGTACAAAAAATACCAACTTGATTTATTGGATAAAAACAGTGGTAAAATGGATGTAAATCCAAAAAAATTAGAATATGACATTTCCACATCCCCTCCCCACTCAAAACCGCACTTCCCTCTAGTATTAGGGACCCAGAGTCCTTTGAAAAGTTCTCTCTTCACTTGCTCCAGAGCAAGATTTGTAGCAGGAGAACCCAAGAAAGGAAGACATCAGAGGCAACCTCAATCCTGCCAACTACTTCAATCCTAAAAAATGTCTAGTTGGAGGGAAGAAGGGAAGGAGTGAGGCAGCCTAGGGCCTGAGGACTGGCCTCTAGGAGTCACTGTTCAAAATGACCCAGGGCGACTGTCCTTGCCTCCTTCCCTTCCCAAACTGGTACTACCATCAGGCTTGGGAAGGAAAGGAATAGGGAGAGAGGGCTTTAAAACCAGATGTGGGCTCTAAACCCTTCCCCAGAATTGGTAACAAGTCCTGAGGGTGACCAGCCCAGGACTGCAGAGTTACACCTTCTCCCTCTGATGAGGTGAAAAGGAATTCCTTGAGATAGAGCATTCCCAGCAGCTCTTAAATTTCCACGTCACTCTCTTTGTCATTGTCATGGTCTCCATCATAGAACTCATTGGGTGCTTCTGGCCTGCAAAGTAAAGAGAGGTCAATGTCCCACTCTCCAAGTCCCCATCTTGTCCTACAGAAGAACTCTCTCCACTTCTCAGGCACCTTTTATCAGAGAATTACTCTTCCTCTTGGTAGACATATGTCGCTAATCATTCAACTATTCACATGTGTTAGTCACTAACACTGGCCATAGCAATACTACTGAAAATAAGCCCACCAAGGTTTATGCCCACCCTCAGAAAGCTAACACCTAATAAATAAAGCGACAAAAACTTACAAAGAAAATAAGTAAATATGATCCTTCCAGATGGCAAAAAATGCTGTGAATATTTTATGTAAACCAATATAAATTTTTTTAAAAGTGAAAAAAAATGTATATGAACTTTGTATGTAAACCAGAATATAAAAAAATATTATATGAATAAAATGAAATAAAGTAACATGTCTGTGAGTGATGGGAAGAAAAAGATGACATTTCAAGCAAGCTAAATAAGAAGGCTTTTCCAAGAAGCTAGGACTTGAAGTCAGGACTTCAGGAAGCAGTAAGTGACCTAAAAAGAGTAAGAGAAATCCCAGCGAGCTCTGGGGGCGGGCTAGTGGCAAGAAGCTGCACTGTAATCTGAGAGGTTAGCGGTTCAAATCCATCAGATGCTTTGCTGGAGAAGGAGGAACAATCTCCTCCTGTACCAGTCAAATCTGATTTGATGGTACGTACACACACACACACACACACACACACAAAGAAATCCCCTACTCTTCTCTTTGTCTGGCGCTGGCACCAGTTGAGCCTCAACTTGCTTTCACCAAAGCATGCATTTTAAATAAAGCATATTTGCTATAACCACCACCACCACCACCACCATGTAAGTAGAATGCTATAGGCTTTGGAAGGTAATTTGGCAACAAATAAAAATTAAATGAACACAGCCTTTGTCCACTGTAGCAACAACAATTTTAGTTGCTACTAATTTGAATCAGTAGGTTATGAATTCTAACTTACTGAAATAAACTAACAGGCAAGGATATGTATGTATAAAGCAGTTCACTGCCACATTCTTTCTAATAGTGGAAAAAATGAAAAGAAATATAAACTTTTAGGGAGCTCCGGTGGCTTAGTGGCAAGAGGCTGCGCTACAATTCAGAAGCCACAGTTGGAATCCACTGGCTGCTCTGTGGGAGAAGGCTGGGCAATCTCCAGTGTGATTAACTGCCTCTGAAAACCCACTGGAGGGTCAGCTATGGGTGATTCTGACACAAGGGTACACAACAACAATAAAAGTTTTTAATACTTAACATTAAAAATACAAACTTTTTATTACTTTTTTTTACCAGTCATCAAAGGTAACTGGTTAGTTTACGTTATGTACACACCATAGATTATTCTACAGCTGAAGAAACAGGACAACTGATCTAGACATATTGACATGGAAAGATACATTGTTTTGTTTTATTGAGGGGAAGCCAATTTTAGGTTATAGTGCAACATGCACAGTACCATGCTACTTTTATTTAAAACAAAGATACACAACCTATTTCAAGAGCGAGTTGTATATGTGTGCAGTTAAAATAGTGTACTTGTAAACTATATAAAAAGGGCTGTGTGAAAAATTTTAAATCAAATATTAACAGTGGCTATTTCTGTGGAATTGTGTGAAAGCAAATTTAACATGCTATGGTGCTCTTTGAGATTTTTCAAATGAATATGCATACTCTTTTTTTCAGAGGGAGAAAGAAAAGGTTATTATGAAATTTACATCTTGAAGAGTGAGATAGACCTCTCCCAGAAGCAGAGGTGGGGAAAGGGCACATTACTTTTGTAATAATTAAAAACAGGAAAAGAAAAAGAGGTGGAGAAGTTATAGCAAACCAAAGATAGGTGAGCCAGAAACAACTATATTAATGTGATTCACATTTTCCTCTACCCTCCCCAACAAGCCTGCTGAAAGCTCCTGCTCTAAGGTTCTGTCTATAGACCTGCTGTAGTTCTCCTCAGGACCCCTTTCCTCTGCATCGGCCTCGTCAGTCCTGTCGTAGGTCAGGAGATCTGAGGGTACATCGTGGATCTGGACACTGGGTGCATGGTTCAGCATCTTCAGGTTTTCAAAGATTGTCTGGCGGATCTGGTCCAGATACTGTTTGGGGTGGGAGGTTAGAAATGGAGTGTGAACGGTTCCCACTGACCCCAGGGCACCCACCCTCTTAGTCATCTGTCATCAGTACTGTCCTAGTTTTAATTCCAGTGGTTAAGGTCATTTCAGGTCCTCCCCCAGCTGACAAGTGACCCTCTTCCCACCCATGACTGACTGCCTCAACTTTAACCTCAGCTACCACCTGGTTGCTAACAGTGATAGCAGTGGCTAAAAACTTCCATTTCTTCTCTGCTTCCTCCTACATCCACATCCTGAACCCCACCCCTGTGTTTAGCTTCTCTAAGCTGCTGACCTGGCGAGAGTTCTGATTCTCGATGCGGGTGCTGACGTCTGGATGGAGCGTGAAGTCCGGGGCAAAATACTCAAAGTATTCTTGGGGTAAGACAGTAGGAAGAGAGAGGATGGCTCAGAATGAGCAAATAAGGTCCAGACAGGGCCCAAGAATTTCCCCAACCCCCACTTCATCTGTTCCCTACTCCAAGCCCAAGAGTTTAGTCTGCTTAGCTCTGTGAGGGTCCAAGTTCTTATCTGCCTTTAAACCAGGACATTCTGGGATCTTGTGAAAATGAGCTTACTGTATGGTGGGGATATGCTGGGGTGGTTCTTACCACTATAGGGAAGCTCCTCACTAATGGCTTCTTCTACTAGCAGCGATGTCTCGTAAGTCCTGAAAGCAATCAGTGAAGACAGGCTTTGCAGCCTGAACAGGCGGTCTAAAGGCGCCACCCACCAGCCTCAGGAAGCCCCTTGCTCATACTGGATGAGGGGGAAGGAGAAAACTCAGTAAGGGTGCTCACCAGCAGCGTGCAACATTTCGGACAGTATAGCCACCACCACCTAGCACCAGTAGAGGGATATTGAAGCTCTTGACATATTCGACACACTCCCTATTAAAAGGAAACAAAGCAGTATGTAGAGAGTTATCAAAAGCCAAAGTATACAGCTCTAGCTCCTGCCTGGAAAGGGGCACAAGAGAGTGTTGGGAATGAGAAATGTTCTATATCCAGGTGTTTAAATTCAATGCATTATACCCTTAATATCTGTGTACTTCACAATGGAATGCTATGCAACACTAAAGCACAATAAAGAATTCATAAAATGCTGCATAGCATAGATAATCTAGAGGATGTTCTGCTGATGAGTCACTTACAAAAAAGCAAATATTGTGTAAGACTTACAAGAAGCTAAAGAACAATTAACACACAGAATAATTAGGGATGCTAGGGGAGGGAGAGAAAAATAAAGATTAATAAATAGGTAGCAGACACTTATTGATATGGGCAAAAGAAAAGGCAACATACAAGAAGGTAATAATCAGACTGTGGGTATCGTAATTAATGTTATCAAATAAGATGTATACAAATGAATGAAAAATCAATATGCTTTGTAAGCTTTACTTCAAATCACAAGTGTACAAAAAAAACCCACCCAACACTACTGCACTGTATATATTATTACGTCTTGATTTTTTATAACTATAGTTGTGTCTTGCTCAACACTCTCTGTAGCACCTCACCTGTTAATCAACTATTGTCATTAACCAACCACTAAATCCTGTCAATTACAGACTCCAAAGTATAGCTCAAACCTTCTCCTTCTCTCCTTCCCTACAATCTCATCTTAGCACAAGTCCATCTCGTACTGTTATCTTGTGTCTTAGCTTTCCATTTTTTTCCTTTATAGGATTTAACAGCAATCTCATTGTTTTGTTTGTTTACTTAATTTTTTTTGTTGTTTACTTATTTTTAAGTCTGATTCCTACACTTGACTATAAATTCCATGGAAGGAGAGACCGTGCCTGCTTGAATTCTCCATTGCCTCTCCAGCTTTGATATATAAGCTCTTTGCAAAATCCTACTACAGGGAAAAAAAAAAGTTCTCTTATGAGTTAATTATCAGCTGCAAAAGTCTGGTCAAGATGCTATCTCTGGTTCAAGAACAACTTGTAATTTTCATTCCCAAGAAAAGGTAAAGCCTTTTCTTTATGTACTTTATGTAGTGGGGCCGACCCCAGGCCACTTGAAAATCTGAGGGACTGGAAGGAAGATAAGTCTCACCCATGTCCTCGGATGCTAAGGTTGAAGCAGCCCAATCGATCACAGCCCAGAGAGTCAGCTCCACACTGCAAATGGCAAAACCACACACAGCTGCAGTGACATAACTGACCAAAGCACCACTGAGGTGCTTTCTTTCCCTTCCCCAGGAATCCAAAGACCCTCTCCTCCCACTCTCTGCCCCGAGCCCAGGCTGAGCACTCTTGAAGGGGAAATGACAGCACTACCTGAAGCACAATGCATGTGGGTTGGTAGAAATCCACGACTTGGTTGATAACCGGCTGGAAGAGATGCTTATAACCTGGGAGAGGGCCAAAGATGGGTACCTGGCACCCCAAGGGGATGGGGAGACAGGGAACAAAAGGAAAAAGGGGGTTGAGAGAGTATGTAGCTATGGAAAGAGGCAACCCAAAGAAGCAAATCATTATATGATTAATGGTTATAAACGTCTAGATGTTGCTGTTGTTAAACCCTTTAAATGCCAGATGAAAGCTAGTGATCTTTATCCCAGAAAAATGTACAACTATACAATGTGTTGCAGTTTCCAGGGAGCAGTTAGTGATCCCTTGATGACCCATCAAGAGACACTACTAGGCAGAAGGTAATTTAAAGAAAGAAAAAGCAGTGAGCAGGGAAGTCTGTAGCACTTACTCTGGTCATCAATGCCATCCCTCAGGGGCACATTGAGACAGTAGTAACGACCACTCTCAGCCCCAACTTCATACATGTCACCTATAAGAAATGGGGAGAAACGAGCTTGGAGTCATGCATAGGAGGCACCCACAATGTAAATGCTTCAAAAGTAACCCGTGCTTAAAGCTGCTCACTAAGTCTACCTATTTCAACAGACTTCAAGAGTCTCCAAGTCTCTTGCAGCTTATATGCATTCCACAAATACTTCTTTTGAGGGCTTACTATGATGCTGATAAAGACAATGAATTACCATGCTTATATTCTCAGAGATGGGGATGAAGAGGAGGGAGACTGCAAACAAAACACCACCATAATAAATACAAATAGATAGCAGTGAGTGCTCTCAGAGACACAAACTGGGTGATGTGACAGTAATGGAGATGAAGGTGATTTCTCTAAAGGTCGGTCAAGGAGATCTTTGAGGAGATGACATTAGGCTTAGACCTGAAGGCTGTCAAGGAGGCAATTCTGGTAGAAAGGTGAAGGCTATGCAGAGGAGAGTAATCTCGATTCCCTACCTGTACCAGGGAAAAAGTAATTTCCATATTTGTGGAAGGACACTGTCATGACCCGATCAGTGAGGTAGAAGGCTTCCTGAACCCCATCACCATGGTGGATGTCAATATCGATGTAGAGCACCCGAGGGTGGTACCTGGGGTGAGGGTAAAGCCAGAGTCTGAGGCAGAGGTGAACACCAAGGAAAGCAATATATTCCTCTAAAACATGCAACATAAAATTATTAAGTGTTTCTACCCAAGTCACCTAAAACTCTACCCATCAGTTCTTAAAATGCAAATGTGAGGCTCGCTCTAGGAAGCAGGGACAGGATAAAGATGTGCAGAGAAGGATAAAATTAGAGAAAGCAACTGAGAATCTGCAGCAAAGCTAAGGAAACAGCCAAGAAATGCACCAAGAACATGGAAGACGCCAGTGCAGGGGAGGTCAGAGGTAGGCCTGAGGGACCGCTTAGACTAGGGTTTCTTAAGAGACGCATCTCTTCCCTGGTTACTTACTTGAGCAGTTCCAGGATCCCAATGACAATGTCATTGACATAGCAGAAGCCAGAAGCCTAGAGTGAGATGATGGTCTTATAGATACAATTCCTCCACCCAGGTATCTTCCTTTATCAACCTCATTGACCAATGTCTCTCCCATAACCTCACTCACCTCAAACTTCTTGGCATGGTGCAGACCACCAGCCCAGTTAATGGCAATATCACAGATCTGAAAGGCAAATATCCAACTTACAGTCTGCCTCAGCCCACCTCTCAAGCCGACAAGCCAGGGTCAGGGCTAAGGCCCTGAGTCAAGTAGCCCAGGGGGACGAGGGAAAAAGACAGGGTTATGGTCACCTTGTTGTTCAGCTGGGTTGCTCCTTGCAGAGATGCACCTGTGTAACGGGAGCAGAACTCAAAGAGCCCGGGAAACACAGGGCTGCAGAGGAGAGGAGCCAGTTAGAATCCAGCTGCCTTGGTCTGGCCCTCTCCTACACCTCTCTCCTTACCTCAGACCCCGCCAATCTCCACTCTTGAATAACTCCCTCTTTCCCTTCCTACACTCTTAATTATTTGTAAATTTACATAAAAATTCAGACCAAAGCATGTACCAAGCCCTGTGCTGTAATACATATTCAACTGTTACCAAGTACACACTTAAAGAATAAGAAGCCATATAATGTACAAAGCATCCTGCTGGTACCATGGGGAAGCAGTTGCTGCTAACCAAAAGGCTGGCCAATTGAAATTCTTCAACAATTCTAAGAGAAAAAGAACTGAAAAATCTTCTCTTTTAAAGATTACAGCCTTGGAGATCCTCTGGGGCAGTTTAACCCGGTCTGTAAGTTGGGATAGAGTAAATAGCACCTGACAACAAGAAGTATAAAGCGCTTATTTAGAACAGTACCTGGCACACAGTAGGCATTAATGAGGTGTTAGAGATTAGGAGTATGGCAGGCTACCCACTCCCACTGCTGTAGACTATGACTATGTAAGACAGAGAAGAGCTCCCACATCGGATTCCCAAAGCTATACATCCTTACAGAAGCAGAGCAGCACATATCCTGTGGAGTGGCTGGTAAGTTTGAACCACTGACCTTAATGTTAGCAGCCAAGTGCTTAACCGCTGTGCCACCCAGGGAGCTCCAATAGTAGGTGAGTATTCTTACTTTGATAAATACCAGAAGAAACAGCCAACAGAATTTAATGTAGCTGCCACTGAAAAGAAAGACTTATGTACAGAAGGGACAGATCTGAGATTGCTCCTTTCCCTTCTCCCTATTAAAAGTTTTTAACAATCTGGCTTTTTTATATTAGATACTTTGAAAACACGCAAAAACAAATAAAAGGAAGAAAACACCAGATTCTCATCTGAAAATCAGATAAAGCGAGTAGCTGAAAAATGTGAGTTCACAACATGTAGCACAAACCACTAAGTGGTGGCACTCCCTAACTGCACAGAGAGCTCGTATAGGGCACCAGCTGCAGCCCAAGTGCTGACCAGGCATTCTGAGACTTACAATGTGAACTGGGAAACAGCAACAGCAACCAAAAACCCCCAAGAAACCTCCCAAGACAGCATGTTACATCAAATTAGCAGCGCAGTATGTGATCCGTGGGCTAGTACAGTTAGGAATAAGGCTTCAGGAGGTGGTCCGAAGCCTGGGAAGGCCCTGATGAGGCTGAATGGAGAATGGGTATTCCAAGAAGGCACCCTGGGCAGCAAGAAGACTAATGTTGGGAAAGTATTAAGGTACTCAAGGCCAGCCTAATCAGCTCCTATCCTCTAGCCTAGTTATTTCTAATGATTATTATCTCTCAAGGGAAAGGACAAGTACAGCAGTGTGAATACTGCCAGCTCCACTGATCAGCGATGGGCCTCAGGGTTAATTTAACTAAGTCTCCCCAAATCTCATTTTATTCATACAGAATAGAAAATGATTATTACAATTTCAAGGCTGGTGTGACAATGAAGTGGCTGCATCAGCACCCCTCACCATAGTACCTAGTGGAATAAGTACCCAATAAATGGCAGTTGTTGGAGGAAACTACAGACAAACAACCAGAATTCTTTAAGTAAAAATCAAGAGGAAAAGGAAAAGCTACAGATGAAATGTTTTAACAGATACATTAACTAAATATGAGGGGAAGATTTAGATACTGATTTAAACAAAATTTTTAGGGGTAGAAGTTATGAGGAGACAAATAGAGAAATTACAGTACTAACTACATGTCTGATGTTAAGGAATTACTATTGGTTTTTCAGGTGTGATGAAAATTTTGTAGTTATAACTTTAAAATAATTGAATAGTATTTCAAGGCACACAATGAAACATTTACAAATGAAACAATGTGACATCTGAAATTTGTTTAAAAATAATCTAACCTTAGGTGATGTACATAAAATACAGAGCCCATGTGTTCATAATTTTTCAAGATAAATTATGGATACAGGCAGCTGATGACTTTGTTCTTTTAGAAAAGTCTGGTATTTTCATAAATTGAAAAAATATTTTAAAAAGTAAAAGTGAGTAGATGATAGTTGTTAGAGTCATTGCTTTTTCACGCATGTGTACTGGACTGTAAGCAATGTTGTACCTGTACTATTATTTCCCAATTACATAACACTGATCAAGTCTTCTACATATTAATAAGTTCGCTAAGAACCAAATCATGTCAAATCACCATCTTTACTATTAAAATCACGTTGGCTGCTTCTTTATATATAATAAAACCCCAAGAATTCTGTTGCCACAGAATTAATTCCAATTTAAAGCAACCCTATGCGAAAAAGTAAAAAGAACTGCACCACAGGTTTTCCAAGTCTATAATCTTCCCAAAAGCAGACAGCATGCTACCTCTCCTTCCCTTAGAGCAGCTGGTGGGTTTGAATCACCAACCTTCTGGTTAGCAGACCAATGAATTACAGGCAAAATACTTAATCATTTTCTCTCTAGGGCCCCTCTCAACATAATAAACTAAAAACGCACTATTCCGACTCATAGTGACCTTCCATCATACTGACCCTCCTATAGGTTTCCAAGGCTGTAAATCTCCACATAGGGAGCTCTAGTGGGAGTTGCAATGTTAACCCAAAGGCCATGGTTCAAATCAACCAGCTCCAGCAACAGCTATTCTTGTGTGATTTATAGCGCCAGAAACCCAGTGGAGGGTTCTGACTCGAGAATGAGTTGAGTTTGTGCTGTGTAGAGATTTCTAAAAAAAACTTACTGCCATGAAATTGGAAACCACTTAAAAGCAGTTTAAGCACTCATATTGCTTAAAAGGTCAAGCCACACCTATCTCTTTAACCTCAATTCAGATGCTCTCCTATCTATGGCCAAGCATTCAGCCTCTTTTCTGTTCCTCAAACGAGTCATTCTCTATCTTACCATATAGCTTTTCATCATATACAGTCCTCACTGCCCGCTCTACATTCCTCTCTCCCTCCACCTACCCAAAAAGTTTCACCTAATTACCTCTTACCCTCAGATTTTAGCTCAATCTTTTGTCACTTCTTCTAGGAAGCCTTCCCTGACCAGCTTGCTCCCAAACTAAATTATGCTCTCAATTACACACTCTCTAGTTATAAACCTCTCCTTAATGGATCTGGAACAACCACAATATTAAATTTGTAGATTATACTGCCCTCCGCATTAGACTATAAACTCCACAATTGACCATCCCCACCCTCTATCTTTTTTGTCTCTGTATGTATTCCCAGCACTTAGCCCCAGATCTGGACTGCAGCAAATGATCAATAAATATGTGCCGAATTAGCAAATAGGAAGATGATGATTCACTGGTAAGCAAGCACTTCCTTAGCTTCCCAATGCTGTGACCACAAGATCTCACTCAAGCATTTCCCTCCTTCAAAGTGTCTAGTGATGAGAGACCCAGTCCTTTCCTCACCAGTCATCACCCACGTTGAAGGCATTAAGGCTTTTGGTGAAGCCTTGCATATTGGTGGGGCTGACTCTCTGAAGGAAGTCGATGTAGTCCTCAGAGTGGAAGCGGCACATGTCATGCTGGGAGGCCTGGTATGGCTTGAAGACCTTGAGATGGAGACACAAGATGAACCCATGGGGCTGAGACAGCTTACATAGCCCCCAACCCTGATGATTATCCAAGCTGTCCCTGCATCATGCCAATCCTTACTCTGAGCCTACAGAAAGAGGCTCTGCTTAGCCAAGTGGATTACTAAAATCAAGCCCCCTATTGATCACTGGGCTTGCTTCCTTGTTCCCATCTCTAGCCCAGTCCCTTCTGCTTTCTTAACCTTGAGCCCAGATCAACCTGCTCACTTTTGAGTCTCCTGTTTCTAGTTTTCTTCACATTCCTTCCTCCCTTCTTTCTTTTCCATCTTATATAGTCTAATAATATGGGGTATATGGAAACCTAATTAAAACCCAAGAGGCTAACCCAGAGGCTTAAAACATCTTTTGAGGAATTCATCTACCCTTTGAGAATGAGGCAAGCAAAATAGTTTTTCCCCTCCCTAGAAGAGGTACAAAGATATATGTTGTTGATAGGTGCCATTAAGTATACAACACACACTGACCCTATGAACAACTGAACTTTGTCAGATATATACATAGATAGATATGCAAATGAGCTCAAGTAATTAATTGATTTCTGCGTTAACATCACTTCAGTTTTTGCTATGATCAGTTCATTTATTTGTGCCTATGCACAAGCAGTGAACATTCATTCAGATTTTTGACCAATTCTCTTCACAAAGCATAAGCCTATTATTTTAAATCACAGTCATAATTCTAAGCTGGGGACAGCATATGTTATGTCTAGGAGATGAAGAATGAACCAGATATGGGTGTTTTAGTTGGAAAGGGGATACTCAGGGTATTTCCTCTCACCCTTCAACTCCAAAACACACACACCCACCCTAGAAATACTGAGTCCTCCCTCTAAAGCTCTAACATCATCCAAAAGGAAAGAGAAGATGAAAAGAAGGGGTGGGAACTGAGGATAAACCTCACACAGGAACAATGGTCCAGCCGCTGTCTCATCTCTAACAAAGCTTTGGCACTCCTCACACACTAAGATGCTGGAGGAGACATCACTCCACTCCACTGTACACCTAGGTCACGGGCCACCACTTGAGGTCAATGGGTACCTGACTTGAAGGGGAAAAGTAGCCTGCATTAAGTCTGCCAAGGCCATCCTCCACACTCTAGAGAAACTGAGTACCTCCCAGCGCCTTCTATCCAGCCACCATCACACCACTTTTCCTTATGCAGATAGGACTAGATGTGTTCAGACCAGCCCGCTCAGTCTTAAGGGCACAGCTCGCCCCACCCACAACTCATGGCAGAGGCTGCGGAACTCACGATCATTTTCTTATAGAGACCGTAGTGCAGAACCAGGCTATGGGTCAATGCCAGGCGATGAGGCTTCATAGGATGTCCAGCCCCTGGGGGTGGGGAGAAGAGATTTCGTCAGTTTCCACCCCCAGAGATGCAGGCTTTCCCTCGAAACCTCTGCGTCCCGAAATCCCTCGTACACAACCCTGATTTCTCACCATAGTGGAAGTTGCCCACGTCCGGGTCGTAGAAATAGGCCACGGTCTTGGCCATGGTGACCGCGGGACCAGGCCCCGCGCCTCCGCCGCCTGCCTGGCCGCCAGCCCCACCCCCGGCCGTGCGTGTTGCGTAAGCGCGCAGCCCGCCTCTGCGGAACCAGGAAGCTCAAGCCGGGCCTCTGCGGAGCCACGCCCCCTGCGGGGGCCCCGCCCCCCCCACTTCTGGGCAAGCACTTTCTGGGTTGTGGGGTGATAGCTTGCCGGCTACAGCTGAAGGAGTGTTTTCAGTTCTAGCGTGGGAGGGCTCTTTTCTTCCCAGCGAGGGCCAAATCCTCGGGAAACCGAGCTGTTTGTTTCAAAAGGTGTGCAAACTGTGTTCTCCGCGCCCACTTCACTAGAAGGCTCCGGAGAGCCGGCCACGCCACCAGGCTCTGCAGAAAACCTGCTTCTACCTCCCCACCGGGGAAATCTCTGACCATCGTCCCGGCTAGGGGCATCAGTGGGCAGGAGCCTCTCCAGCGGGGGGGACAGGCCAGACAGGAGCTCTCCTGCCGGGCCGGACCGCCTGTCCTCCCCCGGACACAGACGTAGCCGCACTGTCCTCCGGAGGGGGCTCGGCGCAGTCACGCGCGCACCACACTAGCGCTCACACGCGCGCACAGCTCACGCTCTCCGCCCCGCACACCTGCGCTCCGCCCCTTGGTCCCGGGCCGGCGGCAGACGAAGGCATTTGGGAACCTAGAGAGAAACCTGCGGCGGTCCTTCCCACCCCCTATCCTTCCTGAGGCCGGAGTTGTCCGGAGCCTGCTTGCTGCTCCCAACTAACCCGCATCCTTCTCCATCCTTCCCTCCCCCCGCCTGCCGCGGCTCCGGTAGCCGCAGCTGCAGCCCCGACCCGCTGAGGCGGCGAAGGGGGGAGGGGGAGGAAGCAAGGGATGAGCACCGGGAGGGCGTCGGGGGCCCTGAGCCAGACTAGGACGCCCCTGGAGCCGAAACCCGAGCCGGAGCCTGAACCCAACGACTGGTACAGGGTGGGCCAGGTGGTCAGGGTGGAAGGAGCCGGATACGGGAGGGTGCGGGGATGGAAGGCAGGGGAGGGGGCTGCGGAGGCCTGGCCCAGGCCGGCGCGGACGCTGACTCAGGCGGGACTCCGGGAGCCCGCCGCTTGAGAATTCCGTCCCACCTTGCGCTGCAGTGTCCTTGGGAGGGACAGAAGCTCGGGGACGAGCTGGAGAGGGGAAAGCTCCGGGCGTCGGGAAAGAGGGACCGGGGTCGTGGAAGAAGACTTGCGCAACCACCATCTGGCCCCGCGCGCCGGCCGCTTTGGCGGACCAGCACCCCTGGCCCGGACAGCTCCCTGGGTAGTGGGTGGGGCCGGACCTCCGAGGCTTGCCGGTTTGGGATCCTGAGGACCGCATTCCTGCCCCTCCCCACCATTCCCAGCTGCAGCCCCCTCCCTCCAGGAGGCGCCCTGGGCCGTGCTCGCCCCCCAGGGCCTCATGTCGGAACCACAGCCTGACCTGGAGCCGCCCCAGCATGGGCTGTACATGCTCTTCCTACTTGTGCTGGTCTTCTTCCTCATGGGCCTAGTTGGCTTCATGATCTGCCACGTGCTCAAGAAGAAGGGCTACAGATGCCGCACGTCCAGGGGCTCAGAACCTGACGACGCCCAGCTCCAGCCCCGTGAGTCAGGAGCCTAGAACTCTGGCTCAGTCACTTCGCACCCCTATCCCCACATCCTTTTCTGCTTTCCCTGACCAACACAACTAGGTTGGATCTAAGTCAAGCCTGCAGGAGGTCTAGTGATGCTTCCTTGAGTCATCAAGTGGGGTGACATCACCCTGAAGGCAAGATTAGAGGAGGGCTACATGGGCAGGGAGGACTTAGGCTCCCATTGACTTCCTCATCCTCCCCTCCCAGCCTTTGAAATCCTGAAGTCCAGCATAATAGTAAATAGATAAAGGGTTAGTTAGGTCTTGAGCAGTAAGCACTAGGAACCACCAGTAACATCCCTTTCAAAGCTGATTTATTTCCCTCTTCCTCGCCAACCTCTTTCCTCTTCCAGCTGAGGAGGATGACATGAATGAGGACACGGTAGAAAGGATTGTTCGATGTATTATCCAAAATGAAGGTGGGTGTAGGCTGGCTTCTCTCTGTATGTCTCTCTCTCTCTCTCTCACTCACTCACTCTCTCTCTCTCTCTCACACACACCCTTTTTCTTTTACTTTGACCTCCACTATCTTTTTCCTTTCCTCTAAGCCAATGCCGAGGCCTTGAAGGAGATGCTGGGGGACAGTGAAGGAGAAGGGACAGTGCAGCTGTCCAGGTGAGGTGATAAAAGGCTTCTGCCTTAGAGAGGAGCCTCTCCTCCAGCATAACCCACCCAGTCCCCTTGCATGTTTGGGGGAGGGGAAGTGGAATGAATTGGAAAGCTGGCTTTCCCATAGAAAGAAGTTCTGTAAAAATCCTGAGACCTTAAGTCCATGCCTACCACCTAAACATCGTCAAAGCTTAGCATTAACCCCTTGTGCCACTCCCTTGGGTTAAACATCATTCTTTTTAGCAAGCAGTCCTGAAAGGAAAACACTGGTCACTGACATCTTAATACCAAGTTTATTAGACAAAGACAAAATGTTGGGGTCTTGGGGAAAATGGGTTATCTGGAGGTTTAAGGAGCATACTGAAAGAACAGGAGGAAGCAGAATAGGAAAACAGATGGAAATGTCACCCCTGCTCTCTTCCCTACTGTCCAGTGTCGATGCCACCTCCAGCCTGCAGGACGGAGCCCCCTCCCACCATCACACAGTGCACCTAGGTTCTGCAGCTCCTTGCATCCATTGCAGCCGCAACAAAAGGCCCCCACTTGTCCGTCAGGGCCGCTCCAAAGAAGGAAAGAGCCGCCCTCGGCCTGGGGAGACCACTGTGTTCTCTGTAGGCAGGTGGGGTTGGAGTGCTCCAGGGAAAGGGAGGTAGAGGTTGGGGCCCCAGTGATCAGACATCAAACTCCAGAGCTGGGCCTGGTGGGACTCCATGCAGGACCCCTGAGGAATCCTGGCTCTTCTAGATTTGGGGCTGCAGCCGGAGTCAGGCTGTATGAGATACCATGCAGTTTGAGGGGGAAGTGGCCATCACATCTAGGATGTCCCTGATTAGAAGGGAGGGCAAGAAGCCTCTGAGTTGTGGTCCTAAGCCCCAATATTCCCTCTTCTCTCAGGTTTCGGGTGACACATATTGAGAAACGTCATGGGCTACATGAGCATCATGATGGCTCTCCAACAGACAGGAGCTGGGGCTCTGGTGGGGGGCAGGACCCAGCAGGCAGTCAGGGGTCTGCAGGAGGGCAATCCAGAACAGGGATGGCTGCCATGGAGAGGCTGCCCCCTGAGAGGCCACAAGCCCAGGCCACAGCCAGCCCCCCAGTACAGAATGGAGGACTCAGGGACAGCAGCATAGTTCCTTGTGTACTTGAGGGGAATCCTGGAGCCTCTGCAGAGCAGGCCCTGGGGGCCAGAAGCAGAGGTCCAAGCCCAGGGGTGCCCAGTCAAGAAGCAAATGGACAGCCAAGCAAACAGGACACCTCAGATCACCAGGTATGAAGACACAGCCAGGGCTGCAGTGGGATGTGATGAGCTGAACTTGTACTGTTCTCTACTCTCGAAACTCTTTGTCTTCCCATTGTCGACCCCTCCTCTTCCTTTCTCTCAGGTATCCCCACCACAGGGAGCAGGGGGTGTATGAGGTGAGTCTGCATGGGCCCCAAGGTAGGGAATCTTGTCCTCTCACTCCCATCAAGCTCATTAACTCCCTGAACCCCCAAGGTGCAGGCTTTTAGCCTTTGCAAAAAATCCCTTGGCTTGGTGATGGGAGTGGGCAGGTGGTCCAGGGAATAGATGCTGTGACCTGGAAGTGAAGGGGTCCTGTGCCACCAGGAAAAAAGGTGGGACAGAGTTGAAATTGGAACAGGAGACAACATTTTTACCCTCCCTCTCTTCTAAGCTTTATCCTTCACTGCTGCTAAATGGACTACCAGCTGGCAGTCAGGGTTGGGTGGGCTTGATGCTCCTCCCCTTCACTGGACAGCGCTGCCCCCAGATGAGGGATCAGCCTTACTTCTACCTGGAGTTGCATGGTCTCAAGCTGGGAGCCTCAGGAGAAGTATCCTCCCACAGATCCCTCAATCTTTTCCCCTTCCTTTGCTGGCCAATAGGCCGCCTAACCCTCCTCCAGCACCTTGCTCCACAGGCTACAGCGTGGCAGCTGGGAGCAGGCTCCTGCCTTTGGTGGACCCCTGAAGCAATAGAACCTTAGGCCACCTGCCTTCTTGGCAAAAAAGGCCCAGGCCTTGGCTTGGGCTTCCTGCCCTTTATTCACTGTCAATAAATCCAATGCTCAGACTATTACAGCTGCTTTTGCATACCGGCTCCAGCTCCTGTGGATTCCCAAGGCCTATTTCTGTCCCAGTCCCAAAGGCCCTGGCAACCAAAATTGGGTGGGGCACAGAGCCATGGTAGAGCCAGGTGGGTGGAGTCAAGACTTTAGGAGGGTGGGGGAGGGGTTCCAGCCCCAGGGATTTCACGGTTGGGATACAAGGTATTCCCTTCCCTAAAGATAAAGCACAGGTAGAAAAGAAAGGGGTAGTTCCAGCCCCAGAAATTCAGAACAGTAAAAATGGGAGAGATTCCAGCTTTGGGCTGTGATGTGCAAGATCATTGAGGGAGCGGTCTCTGACAGCGTTGGGAGGGCCCAGCAGCCTCACCGAGGGGCAGTGATCCCCTGGGCTCTCACGTGAGGGGCTCAGGGTGGCCAGGATCCGGGGCTTTAGCTGGCGGAGGAGGTGGCGGACGCATCTGTAGGGAACACAGGGTCAAGACTCCAGAGTATTCTCTTGGGAATATCCCTGCCAATTCCCTCAGCCCTGACAACAAAATAGGACAAGTTGGAATGACCCCTCCTCTTCCACACAGTCTCCAATGCAGGAGCCCCTACCGGTCTGATTCGAGGCACCATCAGATCTAGGGACCCAGCACAGTCAGGGATCTGGTCTGGAAATAAGAACCACAAGTCAGTCTTCAGCTTTTCTTTTGTTCTCTGCCCTATCTCCAGCACACTGGAGGCCAGTGACACACTATAAATATTTAATGAATTAATGAATAGTCACCAACTTTAGCCATAAAATCCATCAGTCCTTCCATCCTCACAAACATCAGCACTTGCTGTATAATCTACCTTGCTCAAAGTACAAGAGCAGGGTGAGAGGGTGGCATACAGAACCCCCACCCTCAAGGACTAGTAAGAACTCATAGATGAAACATAAACATACACAACAAATGGCAGAATGGTAAAGCATCCTACATGAACTAGGGGTGCTGAAGAAAGCACAAAAATACTAAAGGGGGTCCCCAAAGTTAGGAAGGCTCTGTGGAGAAGAGAGAAGCAGTAGAAGGTTTTAGAAAAGGGCCATTCCAAGATGAAAGATAAGGACACAAATCTAGGTGTTCACAGGATTCAAGAATGCTAAGAGCTAACTGGGATAAAACAACTGCTACTAGTCTACTTGCGATGTGCCAGGCACAATGCTGTGTACTCACAGACATCTTTTAACCTTTACAACAACTCACGTGGGCAGGCACTTCACTTTATAAAGGAAATAAACTCAGGCCCAGACAGGTTAAACATCGCATCTCATATTACACACTTGGGAATGACAGATGGGATTTGAACCAGTGGGCCTGTCTCCAAAACCCAAGCTCTCCTTTCATCCTGCTGCCCTGGGCCTGCAGAGAAGGTGCCTCAGGGTAGGCAGAGAAGCAGAGCAGGACCAGGGAGGGAAAAAGTCCCAAGTTTCCTCCTTCCTATTCTTCGCCCTCCCATGTGCCTCACCCCCATTCCTTCAACTCACCCTCAGGAAGAACAGGTATAGGGGGCCCATCCAAGGCAGATGTGGGTGCAGGCGGGGAGAAGCTCGGAGGCGAAGGAGATGGCAGCGTCTAGAGATTTGGCATAGGGTTATTCTTGGGATATGGAAAAGTTTCTCTAGCTTTCTCTTAGCCCACTTTAATTTCTGTCCCATCACTCCCCTCTGGATGGGAGTTATAAGTAATACATAATTTCAGTAGTCACTACATACTGAGCACTAGGCCAAGCATTCTTCTGGTACTTCACATGCACTAACTTATTTAATCCTTACTGTAAACTTACGATTACCATTTTATGGTTCTATCTGATGATATGGTGTATTATGTGTTGTGATGCCAATAGAAAATTCAGTGGCTCAAATCCATTAGCTGCTCCTTGGGAGAAAGATGGGCAGTCTCCTCTCATCAAAATGTTTCACCTCAGAAGCCCAGTGGAGGTGGAATCAACTCAATGGCAGTGGGTGTTGTATTTTAGAGACAAGACTTCAAGGAGATATGCCATTTGTCTTAGATCACAGAGCCAAGCCAGTTAGTGGCAGATTTCTGGCTACAACCCGAGACTTTTGACTCCCACACTTATCACTTATTCTCTTTTTTTCTTGTATTATTACAATAGCTCATTGTCATCAAATCGATTGTAGCTCATGGTAACCCTATAGGATAGGCAGAAGTGCCCCCAGTGGGATTTCCAAGGCTGTAATCTTTATGGAAGCAAACTACTACATCTTCCTCCTCTATAGTAGATGGCCTTTAAGTTAGAAGCTGAGCACTGGATCCTTTATTTTAATAATAACAATAAAACAACTCAATTGCTGTAGAGCTGGAACCAAAACAGCAGTTGAATCCTCCAGTGCATTTCCAATGCTATAAATTGCAGAAAGGAGGCTGCCCATCTTTCTCCCTAGGAGCAGCTGGTAGATTTGAACTGTGGCCTTTGGGTCTGCAGCTCAACTCGCTACACACTAGGCCATCAGGGCACCTTTTCAGTGCCACACATTAAGGTTTTCTTTATCTCTGTTCGCACCAATCATGATAATGCTGAAGTATTACTGTCCTCATTTTATATGAGACAACAAGATCAGAGAGGTTAAATCCTTGTCCAAGGTCACACCATAGGGATTTGAACTTCATACTAAAGCCATCAAGGCTGCATTGGTTTCCCTTTTCTCTGCCCCACCAAGTAGATGTGGTACCCAAACCACATAGGTGGTAAGGTTGGGGAGGGACTACTGAGATGAATATGGGCCTATGGAGTTGGGCAGGTCAACTCAGAGGTGTGTGAGGACCCACGGAGAAGGAAGCCTTACCTGTTCAGGGTCTGAGAGCTCAGGAGGTCCTGGGGGGCCAAGTAGTTCCTCTACCAACAGGGAGGGAAAGACTCCAACATGTCCCCCAAATTCTCCCCTCCAGAAGCCATCATCCACTCCATCCTGGGCCCGGGGCAGCAAGCGAATGAGCGCCCCCTCAGGGAAGCTCAGCTCCTCTGCACTCTGTCCTGTGTAGCTGTACAGGGCACGGGCCAGGAAGGCTGCAGAAGCCCAGGAGAGATGATAAAGGGAGGAGAAGGGTGGTGGTGCTCAAGACTATGACACTCCAGGGCCACCACCGCCCCACATAGTAACTCTTCTCCACAATCAGGATCCCTGTACTTATCATTTCCCTTCTTACCTGTGGGCTCTGTTCCCGTGGGGTTATTGCTATCATGACCCCTCTCAGGGACGGAGAAATCAGGGAAGTTGAGATACCGTTCAGGGACAAATCCTACTTCCCCATGCTGGTTCCGAGCCTGCTCGTGAGTGAAGTAGAGAGATATCAGACTTGCCCCAGCAGCCTATGGTGTTATCCCTCATCCACTCAGGCTTCAGGATTTACCTGGATAGATCTGTGGAAGTCACATGAGAAATCACTCCCACTGCCCTCCACCCACCCAGTGAGAAAGCCCTTGGCTCCCATACACACCTTGACCCATTCTTCAGCATCTCCCTCCTCTATGACCTCTAGCCACTCGCCTTCTTTGATAGTCAACTCATCTTCATGCCCAGCCTAGGCCCAAGGAAAGAGTCAGGAATTGTCTATCCCAGCTCTACCCTCTGAAATACCCACTACCATTTATACCTGATAGCCAAACACCACATGTGCAGAGCATGGGAGGGGTCTGGTGGTCAGGGTTTGGGGGGCAGGCTCTTCAAAGAGCTCTCCTGCCTCCTCACATTCATCAAAGTCAGAGAGTTCAGCATCTTCAGCCTGCAGGAGGACAGAGAATAGACATAATCCTAGGCCCCACTCTCAAGTGTCGGCTGTATCTCTCATTCCTTAATCCTACCCTTAAATGGTCCTCCACTGTAGCACTAATCATCTGCTCAGGATGCATCAAGCAAAGCAAAGTCACTACCCACCCTCCCTACTGCTGCTGAGTCCATCCCGACTCACAGCAACCCTGCAGGACAGAGAAGACCTCTACCATGAGCTTTCCAAGGCTGCAAATCTTTACAGAAGCAGACTGTGACATCTTTCTGCGACCACCCAGAGGGGTGGGTAGGTCCAAACTGCTGACCTGGAAGCTAGCAGCCTGAGCCTTAGGGAGGCAGAGCTCCTTAAAATCACTACAGAGCAGCTTCTTGTCCGAAAAAACACCAAATGGCAGATGACACTGGTGCAGCAGGAGGCCCTGGGATGGGAGCCCGCAGCGGTTTCTACAGGGGGCTTTGGTAGTGGTCTGCGGGGTCAGGGCCTCGGCCACAGAGCTTGAGGAGGCAAAGCTGAGGACAAGGAGTGGTTCCCTGTCACCAAGCTGGGCCGTCTGGTCAAAGATATGAAGATCAAATCCTTGGAGGAGATTTGTCTCTTCTCACTGCCCATTGAGGAGTCTGAGATCATTGACTTTTTTCCTGGGAATGTCCCTCAAAGATAAGGTCTTGAAAATCATGCCTGTGCAGAATCAGACACGTGCCAGCCAGCGGACAAGGTTCAAGGCCTTTGTTGCTAACAGCCATGTTGGCTTGGACGTCAAGTGCTTCAAGGAGGTAGCTACTGCTATCCGTGGGGCTATTATCCTAGCCAAGCTTTCCACTGTTCCTGTGCAGTGTGGTTACTGGGGGAACAAGACTGGCAAGCCTCACACTGTTTCCTGCAAGGTGACTGGGAGCTGTGGCTCTGTGTTGGTGTGTCTGATCCCTGCATCCTGAGGCACTGGAATCGTCTTGGCCCCTGAGCCCAAGAAGCTTCTGCTGATGGCTGCCACACCTCAGCCAGGGAAGGAGTGGCATCCACTTCTGAAATGGCTTGCCTCCGGAAACTCTTATGAACAGTGCTCAGGCCTTTCGTTCATAGGGTTGCTATGAGTCGTCTATGACTTGGTAGCACCTAACAACAACCTAACACCATCACCACCACCTCAGCCAGGGGCTGCACAGCTACCCTAGGCAACTTCGCCAAGGCCACCTTTGATGCCATCTCCAAGACCTACAGTTACTTGACCCCAGATCTCTGGAAAGAGACTGTGTTCACCAAGTCTCCCTACCAGGAATTCACTGACCATCTTGTAAAGACTCACACCAGAGTCTCTGCACAGAGGACCCAACCTCCAGTTGTGGCCACAACATAGCGGATTTTGTATAACAAAGTGAATTAAGTTCCAGAAAAAAAAGAAAATCACTACAGAGCAGTATAATATTAACAAGACCAACAAAGTTATAGTAACTGAGCACTTACTATATGCCAGGCTCAACATTAAGTAACATATGTATGTTGTCTTACTTTCTTCATAAAACCTAGTGCTATTTTTTTTACAATTATTAACCTTATTTTACTTTTGAGAAAACTGAGCGTCAGAAAGATTAAGTCACTTCTCAAGATCACACAGCTTGTCTAAGTGGTAGGATTAGCATTCAAACAACCTAGTACCAGCCTTCAGAACCACTTCTTAACCACTGTGGTATATTAGTAATAAAAGTTTATTAGGACTTACTACACCAAAAACTGCAAAGTATTGTACTTGACTGGATTATTTTCAGCTTCATAGCAAAATCCTTTGAATTAGGTACTGCTGTGACCCTCATTTATAGGCCCTGCCTCCCACCGGGGAGTCAATCCCTCCTAGATGATTATGGATAGAAGTGGGAACTCACCATGGGGGAGAGGTCCCTCTGGGACAGGCGGGCCTCACTGAGCCGTCGCTCCTGCTCCACTTCGTCCTGGGCCTGGGTCATGGCTGGCTTCAGCCAGCACTGGACATCCAGGCCAGCCCCCTGCAGCAGAGCCAGCCGAGCAGCCCCCTTCACCTGGCTTACCTGGCATGGGGAGTATAGGAGTGAAACGAGACTTTGTCTAGCTGGGCCTGATTCTGGGAGGTGAACGGACCTTTACAAGCTGTATGGACCCTTCACCTCCCATCTCCCCGCCATCAGATAGAGGAACAGGGCAGACGTGAGGAGGTGGGAAACACCTTAGTGGTACAATAGCTAAGCGACTGATAATGAAAAAGTCAATGGTTTGAACCAACCAGCTGCTCCAAAGAGGGAAAAGTCATGATGATCTCTCTGCTCCCAATCACATAGTAAGCATTCAAATATCTATCTAGTTTTGCTTACACATACAAAAACACACTGGAAAGGAATGGAGGGAATGGTATTGCTTGAGGAGGTGGGATCTCAGTGGCCCTAACCCTTGGGCACCCCTCACCTGTGCCCTCCGGATGCTCTCCCTCACTTCCTGTAGCCGCTGTTCTATGCTTGGAGCCTCCCGCTCTGGAGCCTGCTGCCGCCTCTGCTCCAGCCTCTGTAGCACCTAGTTGGGAAGATGGGATGGGGTGGGTGGAGATACTATTAAGCATGGTTTACTATGGGCCTGGCACTTTGTGAGTTGCTTCACATGCATTACATAATTTAATCTTCTCAATAAAGTGGGTGCTATGAATAATCCTCCTTTACTGACAAGGAAACTGAGGTCCTGAGAGGTTAAGTCATTCCTCCCTCAGGTTACAAAACTAGGAAACAACAGAGTTGGGGACTTAAACCCAGGTCTGTCTAACTTGAAGAGCTGTGCTCTTTACTACTGTGCCATACTGCTAGCTTAAAATACGTTTCCCTTCCCTCTAGCCTGTAGGCCAAAGACACCCACAGTAACTCCAGGATCCTTTCTGCTCACCCAAACACCTGTGCACCCATCTCACCCACTGCCCATGGCTCTGTATCTTGTAATCACGGGCAGCACGACTCGTCCAGCGCTGGATCTCTTTCTCCAGACTGCTGTCTCCAGCCATGTCACCTGCTCCTCCCTCCAGCTCAAGAGCACACACCTGAATAGGACGTAGAGTTCTGAGGAGGACTTGATGCAATTCCTTCCTCACATCCTTTCTCTCCAGTTCCCTTCTTTTTCTTCTGACTGTCCTGGCTTCCAGGATACAAAGCAGTGAGGGGACATGCCCTTATCTCAGATGGACACACAGGCACACAGAGTTCCTGAGGTGGCTTGAGGGACAGAAGGGGACAAGCGTAGCAAAACAACTAAATGGTGAAAATGAGGGGCATTAATATGTGCTCCTGGGCAAGGGAGCTCTAGTGGCCTAGTCAGTAGGAGCTGAGCTGCTAACCAAAGGGCTGCACTTCCCTGTTGGTTCGAATCTACCCACAGCTCCTCAGGACAAATGGGCAATTCCTTTCCATTAAGATTTACATCCTCAGAAACCCAATAAAGGTCAGTTATGAGGGGGACAGAAATGAATAAGTGTGATAGGAGGGACGTGAACTAGAGCTCCCCTGAACTGAACAGTTAATAAGTTAATACCAGAGTCCCTGGCTGGTTCAAACAGTTAACACACTGAACTGCTCACCAAAAGTGAGCAGTTATGGCTAAAGTCTACTAGAAGTGCCTTGGACAAAAGGTTTGGTGAACTAACTTTGAAAAATCAGCCACTGAAAACCCTGGGGAGCACAGCTCCACACAGCTATGTGTGGGGTCACCATGAGCAAAATGGACTCAATGGCAAATGACTTTTAAGTTAATTTCAGGACAAGGGTGATGGGGGTGGCCTACAGCACATTTTTCTTTTATCTAATGAGCAGAGAGGTCTCACCTGATCAGTACCTGCTGGCTGGAACTGCTGGGGTGGGGTGGGGGAAAATACTCCAGGCTCCTGAAGAAAGAACTTCAGATCCTGCTCCCAGCTTACCTTTAGGAGGTTGGAAAAAGTCAGGTGTCACTGGTTCACTCTCCAATATTGGGTCAAAAGGGGGAGAAATGCAGAAGGTTGGATTGAATTCAGAGAGAAGGATGAAGCCAATCTCTGTGCAGCTCTCCCAGGACAGTGCCCTCACCTGGGAGGTTGCCTGTCCCCCTCGACGGGCATGATCCAAGGCCATCTCTGCAGCTTCCAGTTCAGTTCGGCTAAGTAAGGTCAGGGGCTCCCTCAAGTGTTCCAACAGCTCACTGGTCAAGATCTGGAGAGAACCCCAAAATACTGATACCATACTTCCCCCAGGCTCATGCTACAAAGAAGGTTGTCTGTCCACGTTTGATGAGTGGTGAGCATAAGGTATGGAAAGGAGTAAAGCATTATTGTCGTTTAGTTGGTAAGCATTCATGTGTGTATAGCACTTAAGAAGGAGTTAAGTGTCTTGCATGATGTCATGCAGCAGCTAGAAGCAGAACAGGGATGTATCTTCTAACCACTCCAAGCAAGCTAGGCCCCTGGATCCATCTAGCCTCATGGGGAATGGGAGGTAGGATGAGGCCCTCCCCTCCATCCCCCTGAATGGTAAGGGAATCTGGACAGACACTGGCCTTGAGAAGGGCTGGCAGTTCCTCCTGGTAGTAGTGGTCAAGGTGGGCGTTGGTGGCCACCAGGTTGAGCAGGTACTCATTTCGGGCCATTCTCAGCTGATGGGAGTAATGAGCAGACTGGGCAGACAGCTGAGAAGAGGAAACAAGCATCAGCAGGGAGCCTTGGACTCTGGGGTAGGGCGCCCTTCCAAGGTAGACTCAAAGCCCAGACCTGGATCTTCACATTAAATGCTTACTATCTGATTGGTCAGGCAGCTCTGGTAGCCTAGTGCAGAGGGTGTTGTGCTGCTAAACCTAAGGCAGTACCTCTCTGGAGGTTCAAATCCACCAGCTTCAAGAAGAAAAATAGAGAAAGCCCTGTAATTTATAGCCTCTGAAAACCCACTGGAGTATCAGCCATGAGTTGGTTTCAACTCCAAGGTGGGTTTTTGAAGTTATGTGCCTGGCACTGCACTAAAAATTTCACATTCTCAGATCTCTTGATTAAAATCCTCTAGTAGCTGTTGAATATATTTAAAATGAAATCCGTACTGCTCTTTCTCATCATCTACTAGGTCCAACATGAGCTGGCCTGTGCAACCCCTCTGACCACTTCACAGCGCTTGTCCCCTTACTCCACGTGCTCCATCCCACTGGTCCCTTTCACTGAACTTGAAAAGTTATTCCTACCTCAAAGCTCTGCATTCACTACTTCCTCTGCCTGGAATGTTTATTCCCCTAGATATGTGCTTAGCTGACTCCTTCTTCATACTCAATTTACATAGATAAGCTTTTCCTCTAAATTACTCCCATCCTCTCACCCTCCATTACAGAGTCTTTTCATTTTTATTTTATTTACTATCTGTCTCCTCCAACCAAGCTGTCAGTAAGCAACCCTGTTAGTATTGTCCTTTACTGTAGTCTCAGTGTTTAGAATAATATCTAGCACAAAGAAAATCCTCAGTAAATGTATATTAAAGAAAAAAATTTTAGAAAGTATTAGTTTTCTTTCTAAATGAAGAAAATAAAGTTCAGCATAAATAAGGTCATCTGCCTAGAAAGTAGGAGAATCCAAACCTAATCTTTCAGACTGATGCCTCTGGATGCCAAACCTCTAGACACTGCCCACCCTCTCTGTTAACCCTTCTCCCCCTGAACCTTGGTGCTGAGTTTCTGGAGACTGGTCCGAGTGTGGAAGATCCCATGGTCACTTCGGTTCAACCTGAGTAGGCAGGAAAGAGTCGTCATGTTGAGCCCAGCTGTGAGGCCTTGGCTCCACCCTCATGTGCTCCCCAGCCTTCTGGCAGCCCCCACCTGGCCTGGACATCAGCTGCCTTCTCCTGAGCCAAGGCCCACACGCGTTCTCTCTGCCCATACAGCTTCCGACTTCGGCTCAGCTCCCGGACAGACTGCAGCACCTCAGCCTGTGCTCTCTGGAGGTTCTCCGCTCCCTGGGAGCATGTACACATCAAGTCCTGACTCAGATCAGCTCCAGCACTGGGCCAGCTTCCCCTTTACCCCACCCACTAAAGCCATACCTTCCTCAGCACCTGCTCCTTGGCACTCCGCCCTGTGCCCCCTGCCAGGTCACGGTATCGATCAGAAGCCTGAAGCCGAGCTTGGCCCCCAGCCACGGTGGCATCTAGTAGGCAGCGCCAGGCACCAAACACTGACCTGCCCCTCCACAGAGAAGAAGGTCTGTGTTAATGAGGGGGTCACCCCATAGCTTTATGAGACTTCCCCTTCCCCAACACAATGGGAGACAGTGCTTTCCCATCCCCCTTAGTCATCTGGGAGCCCTTCAATCGATCAGCCCATTAGCTCAGCCACAAGGCTCACTCATGCCCCCCACCCCCATCCAGTGTCCTTGCTAGGTCAGCTCCTCTCCGGTGCTGTGTCAGCTCTACCTGCTGCTCACATGCTCTCCCCCTCACCGGGCCCTCATCACCACAGGTTCCTGGGGCTTTGCTATCCATCCTTGCTGCCCCTTTAGCCCTTCCTCCACGGCACCCACCTGCTGTCCATCTCCCCACTCCGGTGTCCCTCTCTCTTCAGGAATGGCCCAGCGAGTTTCTGGAGTGCCTGGTGGGAAAACCCATCAAGGACCTAGGTCCTTTTCAAAGACCCTCCCCAACTGAGAGGCAAGAAGATCAAAGTAAAACAATATCATTCACTGAAAGATGTTATATGCACCAGACTTTACTGAGTCCTTTACATGCAATAACTTATTCAACCTTCACAACAATCCTACATGAAAATTATTGTTAGGTGCTGGCAATTTGGTTCCAACTTATAGGGATCGTATGTACAACAGAATAAAACAATGTCGGGTCCTAGACCACCGTCATAATAATTGCTGTGTTTGGGTCTATTGTTGCAGGCATTGTGTCAATGCGAACATAAAAGTACATTATTATTATTATTAATCCCATTTTACAGGAGGGAAAAAAGCTGAGGCCAAGAAAAGGTAGATAATTTGTTCAAGGTCACACAGCTAATGGGTAGCACAGCAGGAATCTGACACATGCCTGCCTGACTGGTGCATCTGCTCTTGACAAGAATAGGAGTATGCACAGAGAGACACTGCCAGTGTATTCAAAGGGAATGTTCAAAGAAAGGAGTCTCATACCTGCCCATATTCACGTTCAATGGCTGCTCTCTGCTTACTGTAGGATCTGTGGAGAGTGAAGGCAGGGTTAGGAGTTAATGTTTGGGCAGCTCTCCCACCCTCAATCCTCTCCTCAGCCTGGAAAGAAGCAAGAGAGAAATTAGGCCTAGAGGGTGGACTACACATGGATGGCAGGGAACTGAAGAGACAGTCCTTGATCACAGTCCTTGAAATCACCTCTAGCAGCCGCAAGCCAGACGATCTCACCTCATAGCTCACTCAGAGCCCCAGCAAGATCTCTCCCAGCCCTGGGCCGGGCCATCAGAACTTGGAGGTGAGGGACCCACCAGCCTTCCAACAGGTCTGGAAGAGGGAAAGGGGATTCTGCCCTAAGCATGTTTGTGAGGGCAGTGTGAGATCATGAGGTTTGAAGAAAAAAAGTTCCTCTGTGTGTGTATGTGTTCCTGTGTGTGTATTTGTAAGTAATTCCTGTCCTGGCTATGGAAAAGGAAGCCCAGGAAGACGGCGGAAAATTAGCTGATTAAACAACTCTACATCCCTTTAGCCCTCTCGCACCCCCACATGGCTGACTTGGGTTGTGGGTGGGTGGGGCAAAGTGGTAGGGCTGGAGTGAGTGAGGGTGAGAGTAGGGAGTAGGGGCTACCTGATGTCTTCCAGCAGCTCCGCCTCCCTCTGCTGCCGAGTCTGAAGGATGCTTAGCTGCTCCAGGAAGCGAAGCTTCACCTCCTGGGCCGGCTTCACCTAAGAAGGGTCAGAGGATGAAGACCCCCTTGGTGGGGGGACCTAAAGAGTATTCAGCACAGGGAGATGCGAGGGGGCGGGGACGGGGAGGAAAAGAGCTGTTTCCCCGGTTACTTCTAGGTTGGGCCCTGACCTCTTCCCACTTGCCGTCCTCGACTCTTGGCCTGGTGTCCCCTAGCTCCCTTCCGCTCCCCCAGCCCATCAAAAGGCCCCATTCTCAGGTATAGCTCACTTTTCGGGGCGGTGGCTGCATCTCCACTCTGGCCCAGGCAACGACTCGACTCCGGAACTCGAGGAAGCCCCGCCCCCACAGCAGCCCCGCCCACGCCGCTTCTCCGCCCCGCCCTTGCCCCGCCCACGCCTGGCCAGCGGCGCAGAAGGCGCGGAAGCGCAAGAGGGCAGCAGAGGGGCTGAACCTATGTTGTGCTGCCAATACTCCGGAAGGGTCCTGCCCGCCGGGCGGACGCGGCGTCCACTGAGCGGCGAGGGGCATCCCGAGCTTCCGAGTCAAGACGCTGGGGTTCTATTTCTAGTTAAGTCGCTGACTCAGCCTGTAATTAGGTTTTTTTCTAATTACTCATTTTCATATGTAGATCACTAGTGCCAGCGCGAGGGGTTGCTTAGAAATTCAACGTGTGAACAGGGAAACTGAGTCATTGGCAAACAGTGCGAAAATGCGTCTGACCAAGCGGACAGGGTTGGGATCAGACATTTTCCCAATATCCACTGAACCAGAAAAGCCAGCGTGAATGAGATGAGAAAGACATCTAGAGGTGGGGAAGGTGCCAAACCCAAAGGAAAAAGGCAGGCACACCAGACTTTTAACAAACATTAGGCAATACCTGTAAATGGCCATGTGGTCCAGAAATTCCATGGACTTTAGAATTTGAACTTTAGGCTGCGTACACCAGAGTCTATAAACTCCAGCACGGCTCTCGAAGGATCTGACCCCCCTTTCTCTTGGTCCAGGCCCTTCCTCGCTGTATCCCTGTTCCCCCACCCACACCTCCGACCCACACACCCGAGGAAAAAAGCAGCTGCCACCTCTACTTGTTTATCTAACGGGGGCTTCAATTTTTAAAATAAGTCCTTGAAACTGCTCCTCTCCCAATCACCTCCCCCCAGTAATACAGTAAATAACTTCAACAGGGGTTCAGCCTTGATTTTGCCTTTTCTTCGATGCACCCAAAACTATCTCCCATTGAAGGAGTTCTGGGCACTTGCACTGCTATCGCTGCACCTCTCTGGTGGTTCGAAATCATCAACAGCTACTCGGCAGAAAGATAAGCAATCTTCTCCAGTGCAATTTATAGCCCAAGAGTCCTGCTAGAGGGTCAGCCCATAATGACGTCAATCTTCTGTTGATCTACTTTTCTCAATTTTGAAGACTATCACCTTAGTTCATGTCCTCATTATCAGTCTCCTGATTTAATATTTGGTCTCCTTCCATTTTGAACACTCCCACACCACCACACCACAATCCATGGCTATTTTAGCATCCAGAGTGAGCAATTAAAAAAAAATCATATATATAAATATATACAAATTTATAAATTTATGTATCATTCATTCATTTATTATCTCATAACTCAGTGGCTTAAAACCACTACTTATTTCCTACTGTTGTTGGGAGGTGCCTTCAAGTCCAGAACAACTCACAGTGACCCTATGAACAGATCTGAACCCTGTCCTATTGCTGAGCCATCCTCAATCTCTGACACACTCAAGCCAATTGCTGCATATTACAGTCTCTGTAAATCCACATGGTTGAGAGTCTTCCTCTCCTTTGTCATCCCTCCACCTTTCCAAGCATCATGTTCCTTTCCAAGCATTATGTCCCTTTCCAAGGACTAGCCTCTCCCAGCAACATGCCCAAAGTGTGTGAGCTACTGGCTGCAACTTCTCTAAGATATATGTTTGTTCTTCAGGCAGAATAGTCATAGCATATTTAGCACTCTTCTCCAACACCAAAACTCAAAGGGGTTCATTCTTCTTCAGACATCCTTATTCATTGTCCAGCTCTCAGATGAATAATAAGTGATTGAAAAGACAATAATCTGAATCAGGTGCACCTAAGTCCTCAAACTGATGTCATTGTTCCTCAATTATTTGGAGAGGTCACTGACTTCAGACTTTCTCAATGGAGTATGTTTCCTGGCTGCTGGTACTAAGTGTATTGATTGTGTATCAAGTAAGATAAAGTGATTGACAGTTTCAATCTTTTCTCCATCTATCTATGATGATGGCTATCAATCCAGTGGTGATAATTTTTGTTTTCTTTATGAGATGTAATCCATACTGAAGACTACAGTGTTTGGTATTCTGCAGCAAGTGTTTCAAATCTTCCTCACTTTTAGCAAGCAAGGTTCTGTCATCTGCATAACATATTGATGAGTCTTTTTCTCTGATCCTGATGCCACATTCTTCTTCAAAGTGTCCAGCTTCTCAAATAATTTGCTCAGCAACACAGATTGAATTGGTATGTAGAAAGGACACAACCGTGATGCACACCTTTCTTATTTTTAAACTATGTTGTCTGCTGTCAGGGACATCTCCAGAGTACTGATGAGCAACTATGTCAGTCTGGAGACTAATGTGCACCTGATACAGGCCATGGTCTTTGCAATTACATGCTATGCATCAAAAAGCTGGACAATGACTAGGGATGATAGGAGAATTGATGCATTTGAGCTGTGGTGCTGGGGAAGAGTGTTCAATATACCATGGACTGATAGGAGAACAAACAGGTTCATCCTAGAGAGGGTGAAACAAGGCTACTACTTGAAGGCAAGGGATTGGAAGGTTGGTCTGACATACTTTGGGCATGTTGCAAGGAGAGGGTAGGCCTTGGTAGGGGCATCATGCTTGAGAGGATGGAGGGACAGTGTACAAGAGGAAGACCCTTGAGATGTCAGTGACAAGGGTAATTGGGGGTAGGTGTATCACAATAAGATTGGCTCAGGATATAGCAAGATTCAGCGCTGTTGTATATGGGGTCGCTATGAGTTGTAGGTGGCTCAATGGCGCATAACAACAGTGTTTCCTTGTTCTATTTGCACAACAGCTTTTGATCTAGGCATAGGATTCGCATAAGCACAAGTGCATGTTCTGGGATTCCCATTCTTCTCAATGTTAGCCATAATTTCTTATGATCCACTCACTCAAAGGCTTTTGCATTAGTTAATAAAGTACAAATAGATATTTTTCTGGTATTTGCTTTCAGGCAGGATCCATCTACCATCAGCAATGATATCACTGGTGCCATGGCCCCTTCTAAATCCTTCCGGCACTTCTCTATGTACTGTTCTAGCTGTTTTAAAATTATCTTCAGTAGTATTTTGCTTGCATGTGACATTAATGGTTGTTGTTGTTATGTGCCATCGAGTCACTTGCGACTCATAGCGACCCTGTGTACAACCCTAAAACCTGCTCTGTCCTGTGCCAATCGCACTGCCTCTGACACACCCATCCCGATTACCCCAGTCACAAATCAATCCACCCCATAGAGGGTCTTCTCCTCTTGTAACGTCCCTACACCCTCCCTCTCCAAGCATGTCCTTCTCCAAGGACCTGTCCCTCCTTACAACATGTCCAAAGTATGTCAGACGAAGCCCCATAAGTATTGTTCAATAATTTCCACATTCTGTTTGATCCCCTTTCTTAGAAATGAAAACAAATATGGCATTCTGGTCAGTTGGTTAGGCAGATGTCCTCCAAATTTACTGACACAGATTGTTGAGAATGTCTAGGGCTGCACCTATTAGTTGAAACATGTCAATTGGTATCCCATTAATTCCAAGAGCCTCATTTTTTACCAATGCCTTCAGTGTAGCTTGAATGTCTTCTTTCCCTACCACTGGCTCTTGATGTCCTTGAACTTCTTGAAATATTTCAGTGTTGATCAGTTCTTTTTGGCACATTGATTCTGTGCATTCCCTCCATATTCTTTTGATGCTTGCCAAATTGTTTAAGATCTTGGCGATGGCATCTCTCAGTATTGCAACTCAAGGCTTGAGTTTGTTTTTCAGTTCCTTCAGCTTGAGAAATGCCTAGGGTGTTCTTCCTTTTTAATTCTCCAATTCTAGGTCTCTGTACATTCACTGCATATTCTATTATAAAAGCTTGCTTTGTCTTCTCAAACTGCCCTTTGAAATCTTCTGTTCAGCTCTTTTGCTTCAACATCTCTTTCCCTTGTTTTGGTTTCTCAACACTGTAGGACAATTTTCAGGATGTCTTCTGACTCTCATTTTGGTGAGTTTATACCCCTCCTCTACCTTTACTCTCTTCATGAATAATATCCTGGATATTATTCCCACCTTATATGGTCTTTGATCATGGGTATTGAATGACCTTTGAATTCTTGTGGGATATACTCAAGATCATATTTTGATTCTCATGGACTTGTGTTAATTCTCTTCAGCCTCAGTTTGAACTTGCACATGAGTAACTGATGGTTTGTTTCAGTCAGCACCTGGCATGGTTATGACTGCTGATATTGTGCTTCTCCAAGAATTCTTTCCACAGATGTAAAAAGACAATTTCAAGTTCTATCCTGAAGTACAATATTGCAAGTTATAGGATATTATCCACATGTATACAAGGAAGACCTGTTAATATGTCTATTATTCAAATATATGCAGCAACAGGTAAAGTCAAAGAGGAGGACATTGAAGACTTCCATCTAATTTTCCAGTCTAAAATTGACCAAGCATGCAATCAAAATGCATTAATGATAACTGGTTGTTGGGATGCTAAAGTTAGAAACAATGAAGATAGTTGGAAAGTATAAATTTGGTGACGGAAATGAGACTGGAAATAGAATGACTGAATTTTGTATATTCAATGATTTATTAATTGCAAAGACCTTTTTAAAAAACACAAACAGTGCCTTTATACACGGACCTCACCAGATGGACTGCTAGGAATCAGATTCCCATTGTAGTCAGAATAAAAATTGGATACCTGAGCATGGTCTACAAGGCTGTTAGTATCTGTACTCTTTCCTGTTCCCCTTGACATGCTCCAGCCACTTCAGCCTCCTTGTTCTCCTCCCATCAGGCAAGCCCTTTCCACTTCAAGCTGCTGTTTGTCCTCTCTAAAAGCTCCTTCCACCACTGCCACATGTGGCTTCTCATCGTTAATTTCAACTCTTCAGAAGCCATGTTTGTCCATTCAGTTTCAATGTCCCCACCACAGTTACTCTCAAGCACACTGGTTTGGTTTAATTACTCCACAGCACTCAGCTCACTGGTCTATGTATTTGCTTGTGTATCTTTTTCATTTGTGTTCCTTCTCTGCAGTGAAGGCTCCATAACAACGGGGGCCTCATCTGCTTGCTCATACCATATCCCTAGGATACTGCACAAATTAGGTGCTCAGTACATACTGAATGAATGAATGAGAGACTTTTGGTGCCAATGTTTATTTAACAGTAGTATCCCATTTCTTTTTGGCTCTTCTTTGCCCCAGTCCCGGACATTTTAGTCAATCTTCCCACTCTAGAGCTTTGATGTAGTTTTAGGATGTTAAGAGGTGGGGTAGAATGGATTCAAAGCCATCCAGACCTTTGGCTTCCAAACCTGTTTTCAATGCAGTAAAACCATTTTTTCATAACTCCAAGATTTTCACAGAACCCCTACATACCAAATATAAAGGAGGAGCTGTTCCTGTTGAGGAAAAATATATGAGACTTACAACTCTCAGAAAGATAGTTTGCTATTCAATGTTCTTATCTCAGCTACCTCATAGTTCAGAGAAGTGAGCTGAGGCCCTGAGAAGGGCTATGAGCTCCCCTGGGACACACAGCTTCCTGAATCTTCAGGCCAGTGGTCCTTCCACAGCATAACACGAGATTATGGAGTGTTCCCAGCCAAGGCAGAGGGAGCTAGCTCCCAGCAGTGCCGTTCATGATAAGAGCTTGGTTCTTTTGCCTTCTGGGTGCTTACCCCCTTAGACTGCTGATCCTAGTGTCATGTGAGGGGCTGGCTGGAGGGTGGACTAGAAGTACTGGAGGGTTCGGTGGAGAAACTAGATGTTTGTGTGGGAAGACCAGTGGGGCTAGGGGACTGAGGGCTGGAAGGCTGGGAAGGGCTATCAAGGCCTGTGGTGGTGTCTCCCTTCCTCAGAATGAGGCTGCTAAGTTCCTGGAGCAGCTGCTCCTCCAGAGACCCATGTCCCTGGGGACTGATCTTCGAAGGAGGACCAGGAGGGGGCTCAGGTGGCCTCTCCACCCAGCCCTGGGTGCCTGCCTTGGAAAGAAGAGGTTGATCAAAAGACCTCTGACTCGTGAGGGGGGTCTCTGGCTTGGCTGTCCATCCCTGCATTGTACAGGAGGTAGAGGTGTCCTTGGTCAATTCAGAGAAGGCCCCCACTTCTTCATACACCGGTTCCTCATACACAGGCTCTGCCAGCTCCTCCTGCTCCTCCACAGACCCCTGAGATGACTTCATTGGCTAGACAGACATGGGGGCGGCAGGAGGTGGGTACAGAATTAGTTACTGCATTATCAATCACTCACATGTATTAAGCTCTCCCTCTAGATCAGACATTGGAAAACACTTTGCATGTATGATATCAATATAACCCTGAGTTGTGGGTAGTATTGCAGATGAATGCAATGAAGCTCAGAGGGGGTAAGTAAATTGTCCACGATTATACCACGAGTATATTGCAGAGCTGGCATCGGAACCCACTTGACTACTTTTCTTCCATTCAGGTGCCATGACTCTCTTTTTCTTAACCACATCCTGTACTCCCTGATTGTCCATAGTCTGGCCCAAACTCTGTCTCTTTTTCCTTCTCCTCATTTTCTCTCTCTCTGTCTCTTTGTCTCTCTCTCTCTCTGAAGGATCCTCTCAGTCTTGCATCAGGAGAAATACAAAGAGGACACCCAAAGTCAGACAGCACAGAACACAGGACCAACAGACACACACAGCTGGAGCAGGCACAGTACTCACAAAAAACATGGACAGCGTCCTCCGGTTGTGCAGTCGCCGCTGGACACGGGCAGAGTGGGGATGACGGGAGGGAGAGACAGAGACACAGTGAGGCTTGGCAACAGGAGATAGGAATGAGGGATGGGATGGGGTCCACGAGAAGGTAGGGGGCGGGCACAGTGAGCAGAGAGGTGGCACCGGACTGGCAGGCAGCCACTTCCCTTGTAATACAGTAAGGGTTGTAGGGAGGAGCGGTTGGGACAAGCTGAGGTCTTACCAGGGTCTGATTGGCAGAGAGGAGGGTAGCCCCACTGTCATCCCCACGGATGGGCAACAAGGGCATAGTGCCAAACTTTTGACGGGCAAGGTCAGAAGAGGAACGGCGTCGTAAGACCACTGACTGCTGATCATCATGCTGGTGAGAAGGTGAGTGGTTGACACCGATGAACATGAGGGGCAAAAGAGGCACCAAAGGCCATATCCAGGCCCCAGAGGTCCACAGGCCCAGCTCTCAAGCTCAACCTACCCCTTACCTGGGCTTTGAGGATGCTGGTAGTCCAGTCCCACATCTCATCCTCATCAGTGCAGGACAAGTATCTAGAGGTGATCAGAAAGGGGTGATGTTGAGAGGAGGGGTCTCAGTGATTGGGAAGAGGAAACAAAGGGGGAGGAGATGAAGGAGGCAAGAGGGAGGAGATGGAGGAGGCAAAGGGGAGGAGACGGAGGAGGCAAGTGGGAGGAGACGGAGGAGGCAAGAGGGAGGAGACGGAGGAGGCAAAGGGGAGGAGACGGAGGAGGCAAGAGGGAGGAGACGGAGGAGGCAAAGGGGAGGAGATGGAGGAGGCAAAGGGAAGGAGATGGAGGAGGCAAGGGGGAGGAGATGGAGGAGGCAAAGGGGAGGAGATGGAGGAAGCAAGAGGGAGGAGATGAGGAGGCAAAGGGCAGGAGATGGAGGAGGCAAAGAGGAGGAGATGGAGGGCAGAGTCCAGGGTTGGGCTAGAAGAGAAGCCAGACTTTGTGGGTAGATGGACTCACAGATGCATCTTCTCCAGTATCAACGTGAAGCCCCACCTAGGAGCAAGGAGAACAGTGATCGGTGATCAGATAAGTCTGAGAGGTGATAGCAGGAAGGCCCTAGATGTATGAGATGAGTAAAAAAAACTCACGGTGTTGGAGGCTTCAATTTTTTCCGGATTCCCAGGTAAACCTTGGCACCTTCCAAAGGCCACTCCCGTTCCGGCCTAGCACTCTGAGAATGTGAACACAGTCAGTGAGATTGAAAGATGAGAGGAAGATCATGGTTAGTGAGGTCAAGAAGGTACAGAATTCCCCACATATAGCATGGATGAAGGGGAGAGTATTATGCTGAATGAAATAAGTCATTCACAAAAGAGGAAATACCTTATGATCTCACTATTAGAAAAAGCGAAGAATAGGTATACATACTAAAAGCAAACAAACAAAAGGATAAGTATACATACTAAAGCCAATGTTCCCTGGTGGTTAGCATGGATAGGTGGGGGTAGTCAGTAGGTATTCTTCTCTAAATTGTAGATATTTCGTTAATTTGGGTGTGAGGGGGGGATATAACATCAAATGTGGATGAAATGTACACATCTAGATCAAGATACTACAAAAGGAAGATCTTGGTTGGCCCTTTTTCAAGCTGAAAGAACTAAAACACAAATTCAGGCCTCGAGTTGCAATACTGAGAGATACTATGGGAAAAATCTTGAATGATTCAGGAAGCATCAAAAGATTATGGAAGGAATACACAGAATCATTGTATCAAAAATAATTGGTCAACACTGAACTATTTCGGGAAGTACCATATGATCAAGAGTTAATGAAAGAAGAAACTCAATCTGCACTGAAGACATTGGCAAAACATAAGATCCCATGAATCGATGGGATACCAATTGGCATGTTTCAGCTAATATATACAGCGCAGGACGTATTCACCAGTCTGTGCTAGGAAACTTAGAAGATAGCTGTCTGACCCCTGACTGGAAGAGATCTATATATGTCCCCATTCCCAAGAAAGGTGATCCAACAGAATGTAGAAATTATTGAACAATATCACTAATATCGTATGTTGTCACTGTTAGGTGCCACCAAGTGGAGTACAACTCATAGGGACCCTATGAACAGTGGATCTGAACCCTGTCCTATCCTGTGCCATCCTCACACTTCCTGACACACTAGTCCCCATTGTTGCAGTCACCATGTCAATCCATCTGGCTGAGTGTCCTTCTCTCCTTTGCCGACCCTCTACCTTTCCAAGCATCATGTCCCTCTCCAGGGAATAGACCCTCCTAGCAACATGTCCAAAATATACGAGGCAAAGCTTCATCATCCTTGCCTCCAAAGAGCACTCTGGCTTTACCCTTGCCAAGACATATTTATTCATTCTTTTGGCAGTCCATAGGATGTTCAGTGCTCTTCTCCAACAGCACAGCTAAAAGACATCAATTCTTTTTTCTGTCATTCTTATTCACTGTCCAGCTCTCAGATGCATAGCAAGTGATTGGAAAGATCATAGCCTGAATCAGAAACAAGTTAGTCCTCAAAACGGCTTCACTACTCCTCAATAATTTGGAGAGGTCCCTAACTGCAGACTTTCCCAATGTAATATGTCTCCTAATTTCCTGACTGTTGATGCCAAGGATGTTAATTGTGGATCCAAGTAAGATTAAGTTGTTGACAGTTTCAATCTCTTCTTCATCCACCATGATTCTGCCTATCAGTCCAGTGGTAACAATCTTTGTTTTCCTAACACTGAGATGCAATCCATATTGAAGGCTGCATTCCTTGATCCTCTGGAACAGATACTTCAAGTCCTCCTCACTTTCAGCAAATAAGGTTGTATCATCTGCATAATGCAGATTATTGATGAACCTCCCTCAAATTCTGACACCACATTCCTCTTTATAGAGTCCAGCTTCTTGAATAATTTGCTCAACTTAGATTGACTAGGTATGGAGAGAGAATACAACCCTGACACACTGCTGTCTTAATTTTAAACCATGCAGTGTTCCCCTGCTCTGTTTACACAACAGCCTCCTTGGTTCAGGTACAAGTTTTGCATGAGAACAATTAAGTGCTCTGGGACACCCATTCTTCTCAATGTCAGCCACAACTTATTATAATCCACACAGTCAAATATCAAATGCCTTTGCATAGTCAATGAAGCACAAATAGACATTCTGGTATTCCTTACTTTGAGCCAGGATCCATCTGACATCAGCAATGATATTCCTGGTTCCATGGCCTCTTTTAAACCCTTCTTGAACTTCTGGCAGTTCCCCAACTATGTACTGTTCTAGTCATTTTTGAATGATCTTCGGCAGTATTTTACATATACAAGCAAGCATACAACAGTACATAGACAAAGAACTGCCAGAAGTTCAAGCTGGATTTAAAAGCCACGGCACTAGGAATATAACTGCTGATATCAGATGGATCCTGGCTGAAAGTAGAGAATACCAGAAGAATGTCTATTTGTGCTTTATTGACTATGCAAATGCATTTGACTGGGTGAATCATAACAAGTTGTGGCTGACACTGAGGAGAATGAGAATCCCTGAACACTTAATTGTGCTCATGTGAAACCTGGACCTGGACCAGGAGGCTGTTGTATGAATGGAGCAAGGGAACGCTGTTGTTGTCGATTGCCTTCAAGTTGAGCATGACTCATAGCGACCCTATGAACAAAAGACCTGAAGCCTTTCTATAACTATCGTTATTTCTCCAAGTTCATAGTTTCCAGAGGCATGTGATTTAGGAAGTGGATGCCACTCCTGCTTCCAAACCTGTCTTAAACTGAGAGCTCCACCAAACATTGTCCACCATGGGCAGCCATTATGGTTTGATCCCCCATCCCCACCCCAATGGCACAAGGTTTAGCATCACAGCACACCCAGATTACCTCAGTACAGCAAAGTGACAGAAGAGTGCTATACAACTTAGAAGAATGTTCCTTCAAAATATAATAACAACAAAATTATATTCAAAGGCCCTTCATGAGGTCTTGTTGACTCTAAAAAGAGGCTTAAAAAATCCAACACACAACCAAACATTCCAAAGGACCCTGAACCAAAACAGGAGCTCCCAACTTACAGAGTGCAGCCGCATCACTCAGTCTCCCAGGGGAACACCACTGAACATAGTTTAAAATTAATAAAGGTGTTGGTCATGGTTGTATCCTTTCTCCGTACTTACTCAATCTGTATGCTGAGCAAATTATTCAAGAGACTGACTGGAGACTCAATACACTTCGTTATACAGATGACAAAACTTTGTTAAAAGTGAGGAACACAAAACAATTATGAGACACCATCTCACCCCAGTCAGAATAGCAAAATTTAACAGAACAGCAAGCAACAAATGCTGGCGAGGTTGTGGAGAAACTGGAACCCTTATTCACTGTTGGTGGAAGTATAAAATGGTGCAACCACTGTGGAAAGTGGTGTGGCGCTTTCTCAAAAAGTTGCAAATAGAGATACCATTTGACCCAGCATTTCCACTACTGGGAATATACCCTAAAGAGAGTTTAACCGACATCCAAGCAGATATATGCATATCCATGTTTATCGCGGCTTTGTTCACAATAGCAAGGAGCTGGAAACAACCCAGGTGCCCATCAACAAACGAATGGACGAGAAGCTGTGGTATATTCACACAGTGGAATACTATGCTGCATTTAAAAAGAAGGAACTCAGGACATTATGCTGAGTGAAATATCTCTGTCACAAAAGGACAATACTGCATGGTGCCACTGTTGTAGAATGGGACTGATATCAGGGTTGGAGTAAGACTGAGAAAAACTGGATAAATTATGTACACTGCATTGAAACAGATGAGGGAGAGAATAATTTAACAGCAATATATGATAGGATATTCTGGTTATCACAAGTGTCCAGAATTAAGGTTGCATAGTGGCGTGTACTCGGGGCAGTGGGAGGGGTGCGGGGGGATTGTATATCAAAGAAAGAATTTTTCTTTTACTTTTCAAAGAGAGCAGGGAACTGGGGTGGGGAGGGCTGGGCAGGGAGAAAAGTGCAACAATGAATGAATGGAAATCCAAAATCTCTGTAAATGTTCATTAAAATTAAATTAAATTAAATTAAAAAAGTGAGGAAGACTTGAAGCACTTACTGCAGAAGATCAAAGATTGCAGTCTTCCATACAGATTACATCTCAACAGCAAGAAAGTCTCACCACTGGACCAATAAACAACATCACAAAAGATGGAGAAAAGATTGAAAATGTCTATGACTTCTTCTTACTTGGATCCACAATTAACACCCTTAGTACTAGTAGTCAGGAGATTAGGAAATGTATTATACTGGGAAGTCTGAAGTCAGGAACCTCTTCAAATTCTTGAGGAGCAATGGTGCACCAGGTCTTTTCAGTGATTTTCTATATATCTGAGAGCTGGACAATGAATAAGGATGACAGAAGAATTGATGCCTTTGAGCTGTGATGTTAGAGCAGAGTACTGAATATCCCATAAACTGCAAACAGAACTAACAGATATATCTTGGAAAAGGTGGAGACAGAGTGCTCTTTGGTATGTCAGCTTCATTTCACATACTTTGGTGATGTTGCTAGGAGATGCTATTCCTTGGAGAGAGACATCATACTTGGAAAGGTGGATGAGAGTCAGCAAGAGAGGAAGAACCTCAACCAGATGGACTGACACAGTGATGGCAGCAAAGGGCTCGAGTATGTCAGAGATTGTAAGGATGACACAGGACAGGACAGCATTCAGATCTGTTCTTCATAGGGTCACTAAGAGTCATACTCGACTTGATAGCACATAACAACAACACTAACAACAGACCAAGGTAAATGATGCCAAGAAGTACTCAAGAGGATATTTTTGGTAAAAGGGCATATGCAATGATGCAACAATTTAGTAATAGGAATGTGGGACCCTCTATGTGTGTGTGTGTGTATAACTATGTACATTTGTGTATATAACCAAAATCTAAAACAAAACGCACTGCATTTGAGTTGATTCCAACATGTAATGACCTTCCACTACATTTCTGAGGCTCTAAATCTTTGTGGGAGGATACTGCCCATCTTTCCCCTGCAGAGTGACTAGTGGATGAAAACTGCTGACATACACTTTATGCAGTATACCACCAGAGCTCCTTTTTGTGTATATGTAGGTGGACATACAAAGATAGATCTATATCCAAGCGTGTTCCTTAGTAGAAAGAAGGGTGAGACTTCATCTCACATGCTTTGGGAGTGTTACCAATAGAGGCCAACCCTGGAGAGGGATATCATACTTTAAAAGCAGAGGCTCAGTGATGGTTAGCAGGGGTATGTTCTCAGTGAAGAAGAGGAAGACCCTAAATAAGATGAACTGACACAGATTGCAACAATGTCCTTGCAGAGCAGAGATTGTAAGGTTGGCACAGATCAGGGGGGTTTGTTCTGTTGTATATGAGGTTGCTATGAGTTAGAAGAGCTGGCTTGAGGGCAACTACCAACAATAATATATGCAAATATCTGTATATACCTTTGGAAGCAGGAGTGGCAACCACTTCCTAAACAACACGCCTCTAGAAACTCTATGAACTTTGATATATGTTGATAGTTGTAGAGGGGCTTCAGGCCTCTTGTTCACAGGGTCACTGTGAGTCGTGTTCGACTCCAAGACAACCAACAACAACAACATATATACCTAGTAAAGGAGTTCTGGGGGCTTAGGGTTAAAGAATTACACTGTCAATCCAAAGGCACAAAGGCATGTGGTTTGAACCCACCAGTTGATCTGGGTGGAAAAGATGGGTAATCTTCTCCCATGTGATTTACTATCTCTAAAAACAGGCTAAGCTTTGAGTTGGTTCCATTTCCACAGGACATGAAAATCCACATATATGTGAGTATATGCATCCTTTGGAGTGCTCAAAAACAAGAAAGTAACTTTAAAGTGTAAGGTGCACCTGAGTCAAACCATGGTATTTTCAGTTGCTTCATATGCATGTGGAAGTTAGGACAAGGAAAAGAAAGCCTGAAGCAGAACTGATTCCTTTGAATTGTAGTCTTGGTGAAGAATATGGAATAATTCATCAATGGATGACTCAAGAATAGCAAATCTGCCTTTGAAGAAGTGCTGATAGAGTGTTCCTTAGAAGCATAGATGGTGAGACTTCATTTCACATATTTTGGGCATGCTATTAGGAGAAGCCAGTTCCTGGAGAAGATTACGCTCAGAAGGGCAGAGGTTCAACAAAAAGAGGAAGACCCTCAAGATTGATTGACACAGTAAGTGCAACAGTGGGCTAAAATACTGTAGAGATGGCGAGGCTGGCACAGGATTGGGCAGGACTTCATTCTGTCATACAGATGACTGCTATAGGTTGGAACAGACTTGACAGCAACTACAGCTAACAACAGCAAAAATGTACAGCTTTATACATTCACATATACAATAAAGTGCACAGGCAGCACAAGCATTTCTAGGTTTTCAACTTAACCAAATACTTCACGGGAGTAGCTTTTAGGATCTAAAGACTTTTGACTATGGTCTCCTGGGACAACTCAGTCACCTGGCATGATGTACTACAAAAAGTTATGTTCAACATCATAGCTTGATGAATAACATGTGGAGTTTTAAAAGCTAGTGAGTGCCCATCTGAGATACAACTATGAGTCTCAGAGTGTGCAGGGCAAAAGGGAAAAAAGCGAAGACTCAGAGAAGAAACAAATCTGCAAATCTGCAGGACTAACAGGCTACACAAAGCATGCATTCACCTACAGTACCCTGATACTATAAGAAATAGTGCCTGGATGCCAGTACCTACCTTTCTAATCAAGAACACAGTAGATCGATCCTGTCACAATAGAATCAAAATGTGAAACAGAACTCAAATACTAGACGGGTTAAGCCTGCAGGACTCCCAGAGACTGTCACCCTAAGACATTCTTTAAATCCTGAACTAAAACTATTCCATGTGGTCATCTTTTAGGTAGGTAGCAGATTGGCTCACAGAACAAACACTTGTGAATACTGTTCTCCTTTGAAAAATCATCTGAGACCAAACAGTCAACAGTTAGCCTAGAGTAAAGACTAGAAGGCAAGGGGCAGGGAAACCAGAATACTGGAAACAAAATAACCAAAACAGAAAGAGAAACCTGACACACAGTGTAAAATGTAAGCAATGTCACTGTACAAATTGCATAGATTGTTAAATGGGAACCTAATTTACTGTGTAAACTGCCACTGAGGACACAATAAAATAATTTTTTTTAATGACATGAACACTTCACCAAAGAAGATATTCAGATGGAAAAAGCAACAACAAATAAAACCCCAAACCAAACAAAAACCCAAAAAGAAGAACAAGATGATTAGCCATGAGAGGCAAATCAAAACAACAATGAAATATTATCTCACCCCAGCAACAGCAGCAAAGCTCAATTATATAGTAAACAGCAAATGATGGCAAGGGTGTGTAGAGATTAGAACTCTGATACGCTGCTGGCGAGACTATAAAATGGAGCAATGACAGGAAAGCAGCTTGGTACTTCCTTAAAAAAAGTGAAAATAGAAATAACACTTTATCCAGCAATCTCACTACAAGGTATATATGATAAAGAAAAGCTGTGACATGAACAAATACACACACACTCATCTTCCTTGAAGCATTAGTTACAATAGCAAAGAGACGGAAACAACACTAATGTCCATCAATTGAAAAGTGGATAAAGAAACCACAGTACATTCACACAGCGGAGTACTATGAAATACTAAAGAAGTGCAGAGAATTCAAGAAACACTTTATAACTTGGATGCGTCTAGAAGATATTATGCAAAGTGAAATAAGTCAGATATAAAATATCATTTAAGGGTCACTATTATAAAATAGTAAGGGAAAGTTTATACACAGAATGAATGATTTCAGAATGGTACCAGAGATGGGAAGGGGAGGACCAAAAAATTGATAGATAATGGCCGAATTAAAACAGGTGAAGGGAAAGATAGTAAATGGATGATCAAATGGTGCAGATAAGGGAGCTCTGATGGCTTAGTGGAAAGAAGCTGTGCTGCAATCCTAAAGGTGCATGGTTTGAATCCACCAGATGCTCCACTGAAGAAGGAGGGAGGGGCAATCTCCTCCTGTTTCAGTCGGATCTGACTCAGTGGTACACACACATACATAAACACACAAGCACACACACACAAAATGGTGTGGATATTGAAATTAAGGTTATTTGTATATAAAAATGTTATAAAAATGAATGAATGAAAAATCAGCATAGTTTGGAAATTTCCACTTAAATAATTTACAATTTAAGAAATGTTTTGGAAAAAAGACATGAAAACTTAGGGTTACTGGATAGGGGGCTGTGTGATCAGAGTCAGAGAGGTCAACAGGTCAAGGAAGGCCTGAGACTGAGGAGCACATGGGCTGTGGGATCAGAGAGGGGTCACCCAGCATTCCATTCCCCCTGGCTCAATACTTCACCCGCTTTTCCTTGAGCAGCAGCAGGCATCGGCCACGCAACAGAAAGAACCTCTCCTGGAAGCGGCTTCCCAGCAACCGGGGTGGTTCCTCACGGCACCGTAATAGCCCGACCCGTGGACTCTCACGCCGGGTACCTGGGCACAGATGGGCAGCAGCAATACTGGGTGAAAGGGCCTGGAGGTGAGGCCTTTGGGATGCTGGGCTGGAGGAGGCGGCTCACCTGTGAAGAGGCAGCCAGCCTGGGCAATGGAGACTCTTCTCAAGAGCAGGGAAGCTGAGCAGGGCTCTGGGAGCTGGCACCATTGCAGGGCCTGCTCTAGGACCTTTTCTTTGGGATGCAGTGGCCGCTCTAATAGGTAAGTGAGAATGGGTATCAACCCACAGCTTGGAACCCTCAACCCATCTCCAACCAATCACTCATTCATTCATCCACTCAAACACCCAGCTATAGGCATTTATTTTAGCACTAACTCTAAGCCAGGCACCAGATTGACCCTGGCCAGAGAGTGGTAAAGATAATACATATAGTTCCTGGCTTCACAAATCCCATAGCCTGATGAAGGAATACAGTAAACAGGTAAGCAATAAACATACCAACCAATGTAGACAACTAATGTTTTTGAAAGAAACAGGAAGCTGAGTGGAGAGAGTAACAAGGCAGGCACTGATTCAGGGTGGCCAGGGAAAGCCTTTCAGATGTGACATTTGAGACCTGAAAGCTTAAGAGGAGCAAGAAGAATCAGGGGAGAAAGACTTCAGGCATGGCAAAAATGGAAAACAAAGGCCTTGAGTAAAGAAATATACATAGATGTCTTTGGGGAACTCTGAGATATAAGAGCTAGATATAAAGTTTGAGAAATCAGAGGGAGGGGCAGATATTCAGAGCCTTGGAGCCACAGTACAAAGTTTGAGTTTTTTTCCTATTGTTACAATGCTCATTGGGCTGCTTGGTGGAAAATGGACTTTATGGCGGTGAGACAGGACTGCCGGTTATTCCCTTTCTGGGGCCACATATTTGAGCAGTTAGTAAAGGGGCAGAAAGGTAATGGTGTAACTTTGGTGACAACAATGGATATGGAAAGAGTGATAGAGCCAGGCAGCACTGACAGGGTTAGTGGTGGATTAGGCATGAAGATGAAGAAGGAGAAGTCACGGAGGATTCAAGCTTTAATAATTAGGTAGATGGTGGTGCCATTTACTGAGATGGCAACACATAGGAAATGGCTTGAGTTTTTTGTTTGTTTTTTTATTAATAACTTCTTTATTCTGTAAAAGCAAATGAAAGTCATAGTCATATAAACACTGACATTACAAAGTACAAGGAAGGGCAAGGAGAGGAGGAAACAAAACCCTCTGTATGTCCTGCTAATACTGTCTCACCAAAAAGACCATAATGCTTTGTTCCATATTCAATCACTTATATAATAAACCAAAAAGAAAAATCTTCTCTGAAAGATATATTCCACCTCTTTGAGACGGCAGGCAAGAGGGACTGGAAGTTGGGGTAGGAGGCTTTATTCTTTTGACAGATCCTCTCAGTCATTATAGATATTGCTGCACTGTTAATAAAAAAAATATATGCTTCTCTGTAAAGCATTAAAAAAAAAACTCCACGGATGAGACGGCTGAGGCCCCAGCTCAAGTATTTCCAAATTCCAAATGCATTGTTGTCCATTTCCTGACCTCTCCGTATGTTATTTCTTGGTTGTTTTCCGGATCAATGCCATTCTCTGTTTGTGAGCTTCTGTGGTGCAAGCTTTTTTGTAGGGTTGAATTTCTTCTGAGCCAAAACCTGGGATCCACATGTTCCACTGGTGCTCTAGGTGCAACTGGACATCTTTCACCTCTAGGGAGCTGGACTTGCATTACCTGGCAAGCTGGCAGGCTGCTGTCACCACATTCTCAATGAAATCGTCGGCAATCTGTAGCAGCATCTCCTCTACATCTTCATCCAACTGTTCATTGGGATCCACTTCTCTTACCAAGTCTTGCAATTTCTTCTTCGTTAATACCTGGTTGTTTTCAGGACTGAGTCGACCTCCTGTGCCAGGAGTGCTTGGTATCTTTACCACAGTAGTGCTATTGGCCATGGAACCTTGTGGAGGGGTGCTGGCTGGTTCCGGTTTTATAGATGAGAAATTGGAGAGGTTGATTAGGGCTGAGGGGCCAAACTGGTTCATAATCTGCCGTGCTTTGGACTTCAGCTCATAGAGTTTATCAAGATCCTGTTTCTTGTTAGATCTGTGAGGGCCAAGGCCAATCAAAAGCAGCAGCGTCTATCTCCCCATGATATGCGGAGACTGCCCCACTGAAGCGTTTGTCTCAGCAGCCGCATGGCTTGAGTTTTTGATAAGGGAGGAAGTGGGAAATAAAGTTTGGTCTGAGATGCATGCTTATAGGATGTGCACTTGAAGGTGTCAAGTATCACCTTCATGTTATGTGAGTCGATGGCAGGGGAGAGGTCTGGGCCATAGGTGAAAAGGAGAGTGTTGAGTTATTAATACCACTTAAAGCTATGAGACAGAAGCCCTGGTGCACAGTGGTTAAATGTTTGGCTGCTGACTGATAGATCAGAGCTGATCCATCAACTGTTATATGGGAGAAAGGCAGAGGAGTCGGCTACTCTGTCCCATAGTGGTGCTATGAGTTAGAAGAGTCTTGACCGCAGTTCATGGAAAGCTAAGAGAACAGAGGGGAAACAGCCATAGAGAAGGTGAAAGGGCCCACATTGAGCTTCTTGTCTCTCTAACATGTGGAGTTTGGGAAAAGGAGTAAGAGAAGGCTTCTGTGAGGTAGGAGGAACCCAAGGACTTATGGAATTCACTAAAGCCAAAAGAGAAAAGAGTACTGAGAAAGAGGGAGTTGGTCAATGGTGTTGAATGTTGCCACCTGGCTGAAGACAGTGTCCACTCAATCTCACTGGTGATCTTGACCACACATACACACACTGGGACATGAATACACAGAGATAAGTGTACACACACATACACATACACCTATACTCACCAAGCTCCCCATGCTCAAGGATCTCAAACGTCAACCACAGATCTGTCCCGGCGGCTGTTCCCCGCATCTCCAGTACCTGGTTAGTCAGCTCCTCGGCAGTCAGTGTTGGGGACACCTGAGGTCAGGGCAAGAGCATGCTGCCAGGCCATTGTCCTTGCCCCTCACCATTCTCTCCTCTTCCCTCCGGTCCCCTCAGGACTAACCTTCAGAGTGACACAGTTGTCTGGGAGCTGCTGCTCTATATAAACTTCCATGATGAGGTCTCCAGCCTGGGACAACTGAGAGGAGGAATAGAGATGAGGAAGACTTCAGAGGAGGCCAAAGAGCAAGGCCAGAGGCTTCTTCATGTTGCCTCAAGAGTACCCCCGTCCTCAGCAAGGATCTTCCACTCATCGCATCCAACATCCCTCAGGCCTTTCAGATGACAGCCCCAGGGTTAGCAGAAAAGTATATTTAGGCAATGTATGTACTCCTGAGGCAGTACTGCATGGTGCTGCAGGGACAGATGAGAGTTATGCTGTCTGGGTTCCATCCCTGCCATTCACTGTGGTGTGACTTTGAATAAACGTCCCTCAGTCTCCGTTTCTTTATTTGTAAAAATGGGACTGCATACGCTATAGACTTGTGTGATGCTAAAATAAGATTAGTGTTGCCTGGAACACAATAAAGAGCTCTGGTGGTGCAGTGTGTAACATGTTGTGCTGCTATCCACAAAGCCCAGGGTTTGAATCCACCGGCTGCTTTGTAAGAGAAAGAGTGGCAATCTCCTCCTGTAAAGGTTTATAACCTCCAAAAAAGGCTGATGGACGGTAGCTCTAAGTTAGAATAGAACTGATGACAGTGGATGGTGGGTCTAGAATATGGTAAATTCTCAGCCAATGTTCACATTATACTTATTATTTAATATTATTTTTACTTCTTCATCCAACTGACTTTTCCAGGGATCCCTTGCACTTAGATGTGGGTGCTCTGCCAGTATTTTATAATGAAAACTCATCACAATGGGCCTATGGCTTGCGCCCTAACCTAAACCTCAACTGGAGCATTCTTTTCTGTGGGTTTCCCCCATGTCCTAGAGAGCTAAAATGAGGCCCAGTGTTCAGGATCGAATAGGAAGCATCCTCCACTGGCAAAAGGGCAGCTTCCTGTATGCTCTGAATGGTCAGGCTAAGTTACCTGCACATCCTTCCAGGTGGTGATAAGACTGACCTCCAAGTCAATCTGAGCTACCTGGTCAGAGTCGATCTGTGGAAGAGCCAAAAGAGACTGTAGGAGTGTTGAGGAAAGGGCGAAGCAGGAGGAGAGCTAAAAGATCAAAAAAGGTCTGTATTGAGAGGGCTAAAGGGCTTACAAGTTGAAGCAATGAGGCAAAGGTGTTAGAAGAAAGGGTGTGGAACAGAGAGGCCCAGGGCCTCGGGAGGTGGCTTCTGATGTAGAGCCTTCACGCATTGGGGGCTGGCATTATTGAGGTGAACAGGATTCAGAGTCTTGGGGTTCTGAAGGTGGAGGAGCAACAGGGTTGCATGTCAGGGATCTGGAGAGCCTCACATCAAAGACAGAGACGTAGCCATCGATGAGCTCCTGCAACACCCGCACTTCGTGCTCCCCTCGCCCGTCTGTCTGGAACACGCTGGGTGCAAACAACAGGGCCAAGTTCCTCGTGCACATCTGGTTAAGAGCGGCACACTTCTGCACCCTGCAGAGGAGCACAGGGGTCACAGGGGGTGCAGTGTGCACTTGTCTGCTTTTCCAGGCATCCATTCCCTCATTCAACAAAAAAATTATTGAGTCTCTGCTGCACACCATGCCCTGGGCTAAGTGTTTAGAAGATACAATAACTGGCCTCCATAAGTTTCCAGTCTATGAGAAAAACAGGCAAGGGAATTATAAGTCCATCAGGGATCAGCAAGCTTTTTATGCAAAAAGACAGAGAGTAATATTTTAGGCTTACAGATCATACAGTGTGCTAGCATGAAAGGGGCTGTAGACAATATATACGCCAATAGTCATGGCTGTATTGCAATACAACTTTATTTACAAAACAGGAAATATACTGGACTTGGCGCAGAGAGCAATTTGCCAATACCAAACGTATAGTGTAATCAATATAACATAGTAAGTAAGGGGTTTACCCTTAAATCACTTAAGAGTCCATCTCCCCAATAAACTGGTAAATATAGGCCCACATCTTATTTAATTTTGTGTTGCTTGCATTAGACCCTTTACCTGACATAGGAAAACGGAGCAAAATTATGTCAATTGCTAACCACGTTTGAAGGATTACTTCATGCCTGGTGTGTGCTAAGAATTTATTAAGGATTCACAATAGTTAGATCCTTACAGAGGGGACATAAATGTGCAACAGGACTTGAGAATTTTTTAGAAAATGAGTTACCAGACCTGCCAAAACAAGAGGATTCCTGAGCCTTGAGATTTTCCTTGAGCTTTGAACCATTCAAATCATCTTTTAGCTATATAGCAAGCTAATTCCTAAAGTAGTGAATGTCACCCTTGAGTACGTACTCATTTTTTTTAAAAAAAAATAACAACAGACCACCTGTATGAGACCAAATAGTCATCAAATACTCTAAAGGCATAGCCAAGAAGGCTGAGGGCTGTGAGGGAGGTTAATGAGGATGGAACACTAGAATGGAAATGAGACTATGATGCAGTGTGAAAGAACGTAAGAGTGTAAGTGAATCATATAAGGAGAAATTGTTGAATAAGACCCTGTTTGGCCATCTACAACAAAGGTGCATTAAAATGTTGGGTTGTTTTGGTTTTTTAAAGAGAATCTTATCAGAGTTATCTAACTCTCACATAACCTAGGTAGTAGATACTGTTGATTTCAACATCTCCCTTTTGTACATGAAGGAAAGGAGATCCAGAGACAGTGTATCATTCATTCAAAGGCACAGCTAGAATGATGAACCAGACTGAAGCCTAAGTCTGTCTGACCCTAAAGTCTATGCTCTGAACCTTCACGCTCTTTACCTCTTCAACTAACAATTGTTTGTGGAATAAATGATGGAGTGAATGTAAGTGGAGGGTCAGACCACGGTGACTCAGGGTCTGTGAAGGGGCTTGCAGGGATGATTGGCCGTACTGACCTATAGAGATGCCCGATGAGGGTGGCCAGTGTGCGGCGGTTGACCCTGGGTAGAGAGGCAATCACTTCTTTGTATTTCTCCAGGCGATGATTCTTCTGAGGAAGCTCTGGAGGTGGAAGAGGGTTGAGGAGAATCAGGGTGGGAAGAATAGGGGCCGAAATGAATGATTTCTTAGGAAAGCAAACTCAGGATGGCTGTCTATCTGTTCCCTCCCTACATTCCCTCAGCTAATCTAGGCGATCTTGGGAATAAGAAATGCTGGGGAAAGGGTTGCCCAATCTTTCAAGAGTTTCAAGAATCTGGAGTGGGGGTGGGGGTGCTGGGCTTCCCGGTTTGGCCATCTGTGAGGAATCTAGGGAGTACCAGCAGCCTCTCTCCAGCGAGGCAGCAGCCGGGCCGATGTCACAGGGTCATCGAGCTCTCGGAAGAAGCGTTTGAGCGTGTCGGTGACATCCTCTACAAAGTGCTCCCCTGGCCGAAGCTTCACTGACCGGGCATCCCGCCGGAACTCAGCCAAGAGCCGCAGGCTTCGGGCACGGGCGCCTCCTTTCCTGTACACGCCCTCCAGCCGGAGCCCTAAAAACAGCCAGGGACTCTGCTCACCACTCCCCAAAGAGCTCTCACTTCCCACTCAGCATCCCACACTGTCGTCCATGACCCCCACCATGATGTGGGCTAGGGAGGCCAGATAGGAGGGGACCTGTTCCTTGGTGGTCTTGCTTCTCAGGCCCTGACCATACAATCATATATAACGTCCTCCAGCACGCTCTGTCTCCTTGCCTCTTTTGGTTTTAGATGGCAGTCTCTGACACCACATTATTTGTTTTCTTATTACTTGTCTCTCCCACTAGTCCAAGAACCTCATGGGGCTCTGTTTGTTCACTACCACAACCCAGTGTCTATCGAATGAATAAAAGGTGGAGATACAGGAGCTATGAGGGGCGAATATGACACGATGGCTTTTCCACCAGAGTTCTGACTTAACCGCTCCTTTGCACACAGGGAGGCAGAGAGGAAGGAAGAGGTCTAGTGGGTAGGGGATGTCAGTGAATGGAAAATGTCATTGACCTTTGCACTATTCAGTCCATGACTGGAATGCACAGCTATTTGTGGGCTTCTAGATGTTTCTTTCTTTACCGCTATCCTTAGATTCCTGTGAGTTTCCCTTCTAAACAGTCCTACCCTCTAAAGTGGGTCTTCAGGGGAGCTAGATCCTGGTTGGCTCTTACTAGGTCTGGAGAATAAAGTAAAAATAAGAGGATCTGGAATTATCAGGGCTAATGTACAGCTGATCCTTTATGAAATATCCCACTCAAAATAATTCTGTTCAAATTGTCTTGTTGCACAGATCAACGCCTGCCTCTGTGCTCTATGGTTCCTCTGTATCCCTGGCCACAGGTCCAGTGCTACTCCATTCTCCATAATCACCCCAGTAACAGCCACCACCAAGCCCTTACTGCCTGCCAGGTCCTATACGAAACGCTATATATTCATTCTTTTTCACCAAAGTCTTATGATTAATGCTGGGAAGTGAGGATTGTTAGTATCTCCATTTTATAGATGAGAAAAATGAGGCTCAGACAGGCAGAGCAGTTTGCCCAGGGTCATACAGCTGGTTGATGGAGGCTACATCCCCATCTCCAACTGACTCAGAATCAGTTCTTGCCCACTCACCGTGCTGGGTGACAAAACTGATGCAGGCGTCCACGATGATGGGGATGTCACCTCGGCTCATCTGCTGCTCTTGTAGTCCCGTGCCACCCCCGCCAGCTGCCCCTCCAATAGCTGTGTTCCATGCTGAGAAGTCCAGCCGGCCCTCTCCCTGCAGATACAGGGTCCTGAGACCCCAGAGGCTTTAGGCAGAGGCAACACAGAACCAGGCTTCCTGAAGTGTCCAGCAGGGGGCAGCAACACCTAACCCAGACAGGGCCTATGATCGGGCAGAACCGACTAGGAGGAAGTGGGCTGTGGTCCAGCAGGCCCAGAGGACGGTGTGGGCTCTAAGTAGGCAGGTGGGGAGTAAAAGATAGGGCAGCACTTACCTTCCTGTCTCCACCAGGACCAAGTGGTCCTTCTTGTCTGTGGTGTCAGCTGCGGAGACCACACCTGGGAGGAGAATCATTAAATATTATTATCGTCACTGTCTTCATCATAATGACAGGTATTTAGTAAATGCTTAAGGCTTGTAGGTGTCAGGCAGAGAGAAGTCTTATAAACAATGCTGCATTTAATCCAATGAGTTATGTAATGATACTGCCCTCATTTTACAGGTGATAAGGGAAGTTCAGAGAGGCTGAGTAACTTGCCTCTGGTTACTTGCTATAAAATGGCAATCTGGGCTGAACCCCATGTTATCTCTTCAAAGCCCTTAAAACATTAACCTACACTACTTCTCTGTTAAGACAAAGGAGAGCAATGAGGGTATCTATCTTCTTAGTTCCCAGCCCCAAACAATATGTGACTCTAAATTATTACACTAGCATCCATAGCATGTGGCATTTGTTGAACACTCACAAAATGCCTCCTGTCAGGCTCTGCAATAAGTGTTTGCACATATGTTACCCTAGTTGAACTTCACTATAACCCTCCAGGGATGGACTGATCCCGTGACTGCAACAACCGGCTGAAGCACAGCAGGTTGTGAGGACAGCACATGATGGGGTGAGGTTCTGATGTGTTGTACAAAGGTGTGCTGTGAGCTGGAAGCACCTTGATAGCACTGAACAACAACATAACTCTGAAAAAGGTCTTATTGTGCTTGTTTATAGATGAGGAAACTAAGGCACCATCCACAGCTGTTGAGTTGATTCTGACTCACTGATCTCATTAGCACAGAAAGGTTAAAGAACTTGTTTAAGGACACAAAACCAGGAAGTGACAGAAACAAAAAAACCAAGACACCCAGTGCTGTCGAGCCAACTCTTGACACAGCCTACTCATGACACAGAGTGGAACTTCAAAAGCTTAAGGTTTCCACTGGCCAATTATTTTACAAGTGGTTGGCCAATCCTAGTCTGTCTGGTTCCTAGTCTGTCTTAGTCTGGAGGCTCCACTGAATCCTGTCCACTGTGGATGGTCCTGCTGGTATTTGAAAGCCATACTGTTTTCAATTACTTCATCTGCATGTGAAAGATGGAAGATGAATAGAGAAGACCACAAATGGATTGATGCCTCTGAATTGTGATGTTGGTTAAAAAAAAAAAGGAATATACCATGGACAATAAAAAGAATAAACAGATCAGTCTTGGAGGAAGTATAGTCCAAATGCTCATTAAAAGTGAGAATGTCAAGACTTCATCTCACATACTCTGGGCCTGTTATCAAGAGGGGGCCTATCGCTGGAGAAAGACACCATGATTGGTAGGGTAGAGTGTCAGTAAAAAAAGGAGGAAGACCCTTGATGAAACGGACAGGCCTAGGGGCTATAACAACAGCTCAAAGCAGAGGAACTGCTGTGAGGAGGTGCAGGCCCGGCATGGCTGGATTCTTTTGAATACAGGGTCACTGGGAGCTGGATTTGACCTGATGGTACCTAACATTATTGCTACCTTTCCAGAAGCATACTGCTACATTTTTCTCCCCAAGAGTGGCCTTTCAGCCAGCAGCAAGCACTTAACCCCTGCGCCACAAGGGTTCTGAGCATGTGCTCAGAACCACTATGTTTTGCTAAAAACAAAAATAAAACCAGTTGCCACTGAGTTAATTTCCTACTCATGGTGACCCTTTGTATTTCAGAACAGAACAGAAGAGAACAGTGCACCCCCTTTGGTTTCAGTGGCTGTGACCTGTCAAAAGCTGACCCACAGACTAGGGATGAGATCAACTACGACAGCAGAGATTAGTGGGATGAAGGAGTAGGCAAGGTGCAATAGGGACTCAATGAGACAGGGAGATCAAAGGCATTGATCAATAGTAAATTTATCAATCATAATGTATGATTGATTGTCTAAGATACAATGTACATGAATAAAACACAATGTATGAACAATTAAAAATAAATAAATTTTAAAAGGAGACTGATGAGTTTTTCCTTTTAGACCCCTCTGGGGTGTATTTGAACTATTAACCTTTTGGTTCATAGCTGAGTGCTTAACTGCTTATTCTACTCATGAGCCCACTCCGCCTTCTGCCTTCCACTTCCACGGCCACCCTTCAGCCCCACCCTGCCCCACCCGTGCTCACTGATCTCCTGTAGCCGGCGCAGGTGCACCATGTCCTCAGGGGCTGGGGATCCTGGACCCGGCGCTGGACACAGGAAGAGGTGGTCACCACGAAGGAGGCCAAACCCTGACAGCCAGCCACCAGGGGTCAGGGCTGTGTGCGAGGGGGACCGCAGCCACAGCCGGCCCAGTCGCAGCAGCCCGGGACCTAGCAGCTGGTGACAGCTCAGCGGAGAGAACCACTGTGGGGAAGAATGGGACAGGAGAGACAAAGGGGGTGGGTAAGAAACAAGGGGTGCCAGGAGAGGTGAGAGTGTAATGGACAAGACAAGACAGAGAGGTTAGAGAAATTAAAAGGGGAGAGGGCCAAAAGGGAGAGACAAAGAGAGGGGGAAAACTGAAGAAATTCAATTCAGTTCAATATGCTCCAGGCAACATAGACCAGACCTTCGAGTGGCAGCCTTTTGCTCTCACTTGGAGAGTGGGGGTAAGGTGGCCATAATGTTACAATCGAAATGGCTTGGCACCTGGAAAATCTCACCCCTTGGAAGAGGCTCCAAAGAAGAGAGGGTGTTTGAAATGGACCTTAAAAGTGCTTTTCAAACCAATGCAGTGAAGGAACTTAAGGAAAGCAAATTAAGGAAGGAGTACTTTTTAAAAAAGACTTACTTTTAAAAGATTCCAAAAAGTACTTATCAGTACTTTTGCAGCAAAACAGAAACAAACAAAAAAAACCCAATTAAAATTATTGACTGGGCAAGTAAAATGAAAATCCAAAGATATACGACCAAGCCTCTAGTTTTCACTAGAGTCAATATCTAAAATTACTTTATCAAATTACTTATAACCTAAGTCAAACCCACTGCCATCTGGTAGAGTCCAACCCGACAGATTTTCACGGCCAGTTATACAGAAGCTGACAGCCACATTCTTTCTCCCACGGATGAGCTCTGTAAATGTGAATTGCTGACTTCTTGGCCAGCATCTTAACACTTTAATCTCTCTACCACCAGGGCTCCTCAGATTGCAACATATTACTCCAAAGGAGCGCTCTCAGTCTCTGTACTTATCTTAGCACCGATCAACACAAATTGTGCACGGCCCACATCGTGTTAGTGAACACTGTTTTAAAGGACTTTTGATAAGTTAGATGAAGAGACGACGAGATGTTTGCTTGGTTGTAAGGGTCATGATGGTGCCCTGCATAGGATCAGGGACATCTTGGTGTGAGGGGCTGCAGGCAAACCAGAGGTTGGGAAAGAACCAAGGGGATGAGTGTTTTCTACAGAAGGGTGAGATGCTGCAGAGATGACCTCGTGGGGCTCACTGAAAGATCCCCAAAGTTTGGAAACAGGAAGTCCCTGGTGACCTGCGCGATAGCAGCTGAGAAGAGTCTAGGCAGAGCAAGGCCGCTGTGGGGGATTAAGGAGGAACTGCAGGCTGCAGGAACACAGACACACCACTTTCTGAGAAGTTGTCATGAGAGGAAGGGCTTCAGAGCGATAAGTGGAAGGTAGAACAGGGTTACGGGAAAAGCTGTTTTAGGATGGGAGTGACTGTCACCATCATCATTATCTTCACCACTTTAGCACCCACGTACTGACGGCCCGCTTCATGCCAGGCAACGTGGGGTTAGCATCTCACTTAATTATCAACCCTCCTGTCTGGGGATCATACACCCACTCTATGAGGATAGAAAAGCTCACGAGGTTAAGAGGCATAAGCTCAAGTCTAAGTGTATCTGACTCCAAGGCCTGAACTTTTAATTCTAGGAAGAGGTGTAGGATGGAGAGACTGGGCTATTCAGGAATGGAGAATGCACAGGAAGGCAGCACTGTCCCCCAGCTGCTCGAGAACTGGGGTTGGGGCAAAGAGTGAGAGGCAGCTTCTCTGTAGAAGAGGCCATGGGACAGTGAGGTTGGGCACGAACTTTGAGATACAGGCCTGGCTTCTGATCTTCTGCTCTGTTGCCTCCTAGCTCTGTGACCTTGAGTTTATAACCTCTGAGCCTCAGTGTTCTTGTGTGATACTCATAGTCCTGACCACTGAGTGTTATTGTAAAGATCACACGAGATATTGAAAGGGAAGTGCTTAGCATGGGGCCTGGCACAGTCTTACTGTTAGTGGAAGCGGTGGGAGTGACTGGAGGGACAGGAGAGGACAGAGTAGAGGCGGGTGGGGCACAGAAATGATGAGCTGTGGGGGAAAGGTCTCCACCGTCTCACCTTGCCCACAGCGCTGGTCCAGGCTTCCAGACTGTCAGCTCCATCTGTCCCAAAATGCTGGATCCTCCCTCCTGTGAGGATTAGCTCAAAGGAAAATGGGAACCTGGAGAGAAGGGGAGGTTAGAGTAAAAAGCAGGCCAGTGAAGGGACATCAGCTGGGGCTTGGCAAGCGCATAGGAAGGGCTCTGTGGCAGAGGGGCTGTTACCTGTCTAGGTCACCTGGGTCAGAGGGTGGGGGGATCACGCCCAAACAAACAACATCCTGTGGATGGATGACACTGAGAGGGTCAGGGCTGTTCTCCGACGCAAACATTTCCAGAGCTGCTCCCAGCACGCACCACAGTCGAGGGGGTGCTGAAGGGGTGACAGGTGATCAGGGGGCAGCAGACTCCTGACCCCACTGTCATAGTTCCCATTTGTTGTTGTTAAGGGCTGAATCCATTTCAATTCATAGTGACCGCATGTGACAGGGTAGAATGGCCCCTGGGGTATTCTCAGGCAGCAGTATTTAGAGGAGCAGGTTGTCAAGTCTTTCTCCTGCAGAGCCACTGGGTTTTGGTTGGCAGCTGAGCACTTAACCCTTGCACCACCATTCTGTGTTGAGTCTTCTGCCTATGCATGGGCCTAGAGAATCCTCACACCCCTAGGAAGTGGGGACTATGGTATTATTGGCTCTATTTTGCAGATAGGGAAATGAAGACTCTGTGTTTGAGTAGCAGCTAGCCAAAGTCACATAGATCGAGGAAAGCAGAGCTGAGATTTGGGCCAGTCTGACTTCAGATTGCAGCCTCTTAACTATCACTCAGTGCTGCCACCTGGTGTGACCCTTGCTCATCCCCAGCACCCCCACCTGCACCCAGGAGTGACTCCACCTTCTCATCTTAGTCCTGTCCTCCCAGCCTCTTTGCAGCCCCCATCTCTCCTCATCCCCGGACTCACCATCTCGGCCCCTTCGTGGGGGTGGAGGTCCAGCTTTGTTGCTGATGGGACCACAGTAGAGAAAGCTGCTGTAAGTGGCAGGCACCACCACCTCGTTGTAGACACCCAGGGAGGGGTCTGCAAGGGAGAAGGAAAGGTGGTCCTGTGAGGTCACTGCAAAGGGAAACCTTGAACCTCCTTGGCGGGTCAATAAAAAAGAGAGATCAATAAAAAAGAGAGAAAAGAGTGGGGTCCAATTCCACTGGAAGCATGGCCATGCATAGTCCAGTGGGACTGGACCCCTAACTACATAGACAGCAAATGAGGGATGCAAAGATGATGGGAGTGGGCCCCTAGCCTGCCCCACTGCCCCTGCCTATCAGCCAGCCTACTTGGCAGTCCACTCTGAAGGGGACTTTGAGAACACGGAACATTTTTCAAGGGTCTTAGCTCTCACAGCCTGACCACTGAAACTAACAGCTTTAAGATGACCATCCAGTCCCACCCCAGAAGGTGGTCATCTGCTCATCACCAGTCACCTCACATCATGAGAAAACTGACCTGGGGAATCTGAGGGGTTGGAAAGTCTCTTAGGAAAATAGGGTGGATGCTGGGTTAATTGTATCCTCTCCCCAACAAAAGCCAAGAGACAGGTCAGTTAGAGAATTCTGGGTAAAGATAGGAAGCATCTGGCAGGATTACCTGGAGGCAAGAGGCCAGGGAAGCTGCCATTCAGGGCAGAGGGGGACCAGGGCTCATCCTCGCCCTCGAAGGCTTCCATGCAGAGGAGCTGGGCCATGTTCTTTAACAAGTTGGGCCCTGCCACAGCTGCACATAAGGCCTTCAGGGAGGTAAGGGCCTTTGTTAGCTTCTTGCTTCCATTTCAGAGCCCCTACCAGCACCAGATCCCACCAAGCCAGCACAGAGACTGCTTCCTCATCTCCATCAGCACCACCTTGCCACACCTACCTGGAGAAACTGGCTATGATCCTGATACTGAGGATGGGGCTTCCGGAAGAGACCCAGCCGGTACTTTCGGGAAATGAACTCTCCTCGAGGGCCGGGGGACGCATCTGGACGCAGTCCCTCCCCTGGGGGTAATGCCCCTGCCCAGAAGCGGTTGGCACGATTGTTACCGAGGACAATGAACAACTGCAGGATAGCAAGGTGCAGAGGCAAGTGACAGGGACTCCAGAGTGCTCAGGCTTTCCACTGTCCACCCCCAGGTCCCTGTGCCGGGCTAGACCTAGGCGTCTTGTTGGCTGTTTCTTTTCCACCCCTCCCACCTTATCCCTCTTCATCCCTCACCTGCACTATCTCATTACTCCAGACACTTGTATCCAGCTTCAGGCTCTGCACCTTGGAGATCCCAGAACCCAAGGCTCGGTGCTGACCTGTCAGGGTGTGAAGGTCATGTGGCATGGATACCCTGAGCCGCCCCATCCCCACCCCTCATTTGGGCTTTAGTGGCCACACCTTGGGCCTCACCTGCACACTGTTTGCAGATGACCACCCCCAGGTTGACCGCAGCCCAGTCTGGCTGGGATGCCCCACAGTCCGCACAGTGTCGGTTTGCTCGGTTGGACCAGATCTTCTCAGCCACCTCGTAGTCAGACAGGGTCTCGGTTACTGCTTCCTGCAGAGCGGCTGCCCAGCTCTGCCGAGACCCCCCAGACTCGGCTGTGAAGCTGAGGGGTGGACAGCCAGTCTGTGGGCGTGGGACCCCCCTCCACCTGTCTCATCCCACTGGTCATTCCTGCAGAGCCACCATAGGCCACACCTTGGCCAACCCAGACCCACTGGACACTTGTGTCCCAACCCATGCACTCTAAGCAGGCCTCCATTGCTCTGGACCCCTTTGCTCCAAAAAGGTTCTCTCAACCATGCTTCTTGCCAGTCTGGGCCCCACCTGAAGCAGCGATGGGGTGTAAGCAGGTCAAAGCTGCGACTCTTGGTTTCTCGGACGCTGCAGCCCTGCAGCTTGATGAAACAGATTCCGATGCCCAGCAAGAAAGCCTGGTGGAGTGGGCACAGTGAGAGGCCAGCATGGTCTAGGGCAGGCTTCTTGGCCCTGGCCCAGCCCACCTCACCTGCTCACTCTTGTACAAAGCCAGCTCCCCAGGGCTCAAGGCAGCAAACACCTTGGCCTTGTGTCCACGCAGCTCTAGCATGCCCATGCGGAGGGGTCGGGGTGGCTGGGGTGGCCGGGGGTGGCCCAAGAGGCGCTGTTCCTTCAAGCAGTTTTGCAGGGTGGAACACCACATGTCCCGCTGGGCTGGTGAAAGTGTGGGGTTAAGTCAGTGAGCATGCGCCCCTGGCCTTCCCTCCCTCTCTCCCACCCTGACCCAGTGGGCTCTGATCCTCACCCTCACTCTCTGTACGGAACACAAACACCCTCAGGCCAGTGATGACCTGAAATTTGTTGTCCTTGCTGCTGCGGGTCATCTCAATGGCAGTCAGGGGGATCACACCTTTGGAGAAGGGGTCCTAGAGGGAGAGCCCAAAGGCCCACAGGGACAGGACCTGAGCCACGGTGCATTGATGCCTGGCTCCCTCACCAATTTTCATGAGCTCAGCCCTCAGCCCACAAGCAGTGGGTGTTGTTGTTAGCGCCCATCGAGTTACTTGTGACTCATAACAACCCTATATACAAGAGCCCTAAATGCTTCTCTATCCTCTGCCAACCTCACCGTCTCAGACACACTCCCACCACCCCAATCACAGAATCGATCCATCTCATCGAGGGTCTTCCTCTCCTGCGCAGTTCATTTAAGTGCTTGGCAGACATCAGGCGTGAGGCAACAGCTCCCAGGGTGGGCTTCCTTTCTTCCCATCCTGAACATTTCCAGCCCCCTTCTCCCTCATCCCAGGGTCCCTGTACAAATCTCCTGGGCCTCACCTTGTCATTCCCAAAATACATCAGATTCTTCCCATTAAATTGCACAAAGCGTCTCTGGAAGACATAGTTTCTGAAAAAGGGAAGCACTGAGATCAGTGCGTATTAGGGGTTGCATTCTGGGGGCACTCATAAGGTGTGCAAGCAGTTAAGACACAATGCACCCCCACTGCTTCCCAGCCTCCCTCTGCTCCCTTCCCTTCCCGGCAGCCTCACCCTTGAGGAGAGAGCTTGTCCAGCCAGCCACTGAGCAGGGGCACTGGGGGGTCTGCTGTGGAGGAGAAGCTGGCATAGGGTGAAATGAGGTCATCACTGGCCTCTTCCATATCCAGGGTTGGCAAAGAGAGGGTGGAGTCGCCAGGCAGTTCAAGGCTGGCATAGCCAGCGTCCTCCCGAGCCTCCAGATCCTGCCTGCTGAGCCTTGTGGAGATCAGGAGAGAGGAGCAGATGTGACCCCACTCCTAGCACATTGGACATGCTCTCTGTATCTCCTCCACCCCTACCCAGAGCACTTAGTAGAATCCTTGGCAGGTGAAGGGTATATTTTCCAAAGAAGGGGATAGGGAGATTAGAGACACAAAAAATTAACATGGAACATTCTCTCTGAGCATATTTAGAAATTAGGAAAATTTTGGAAAAGTAGAGAGAGGGTCAGCAAAACAGAGGAAGACAACACGGTGACTGAACTGCAGCAACAGGGCTTGAGCTTGCGGAGATCATGAAGATGGATGGTATGTGATAAGGCAAAGCTCCAAGCGTGGCCCCTAGAGTTGCTATGAGTCACCTAACAGCATGACCTCTGCCATCAGTGTTCCCAGGATGGAAGGGCTGGGAAGGGCTGCATGGACAGGTGTCCATTCTAACCTATTACTGATCTTCCTTCCACAAATTCCTTGGTCTTCTCTCCCTACACCAAGTCCCCAGCAGCATACACTGCATGACAGATATTTCACCTGCTTCCATTCCTGCCATCTCTCACCTAATCCATTCTCCCGCGGCCACCAAGGGGGCTCTTTTGAAAAGGCAAATGTTATCACTTTATTCCTTGCACAAAGCCTTCCAAAAATTTCCATCAACTCTTAAGATAAAGCCAAATTCCTTACCATGGGCATCAAGGGTTTGCCTAAAGAGCCCCATGGCCATTCCCCTGACCTCACCGGTGCCACCGGCATCCATGCTCACTATAGTCCAGCCACATTCTCTTTCCTGTTTGAACATACTGTTCCCTCTACCTAGAACATGCTTCCCTGGGTTGCTTGTCTCACCCTTTCGGTATTAAGTTCATTTGCTCAAAAAGACCTTTCTTAACCACCCTGAATAAAGTCCTCTATCATTTTCTAAACTCTGGCAGCATAGGAAATGTGGTTCTCAGCGTCGGCAGCACAGTCACCTGGGTGGAAAACTTTCAAATACTGTGCTGATTTTATGGGCCCCATCTCAGACCACTTATGTTTGAAACTCCAAGGATGAGGGCTAGACACTTCCAATTTCTTATTTTTCGCAGGATATGGTGCCCCTAAGGTTGAGAACAATTACTCTATCCTATTTGTTTTCTCCTTCACTGAGCAATTCCGACTTCACTGAAGCAATCAGGGCAAACTCCCACAGACACCTAGCATCACATCGACTGATTTCACCACACACTCTGCCTTTTTCCCATTACTAGAAATATTCCTGCCTCAAGTCAGCTCCTTCTCTCACACATTGATCTTACTCCCTCTCCACTGCACCAGGATAGCTCCTCTCTCTCCCACATCAGCTAAATCTCTCTTTTTACAGAATCATTCCCTTTTACCTACAAATACACCTATTTAAAAAACAAATAAAAGCCCCTTTCTTGATTTCCATTATCAATTACCACTCCAATTATCTGCTCTCCTTTGCAGAAAAATGCCTGTAAAATGCTTTCTACACTTAACTGGCCAAGCTCCAGTTTGCCCCACCCGGGGTGGCTGTGATCCTTTGGCCAGAGAGCATGATGCTGTGTATGTGGGAGTTGTGTTGTGTTGTGGCGGTCTCTGGAGAAAGGCGACTCTGCCTCCAGGAACCAGGGAAGCCACGCTTGGCCTTGGGTTGAAGGCAGCAGCGGCTTCAAGCCCAAAAGGAGAAGAAGAGGAGGGAGGAGACTCCCCGATTAAACAGGCGTGGAAGGAGGAGTGGCATCCACTTCCATAATAGCTTGCCTCCGGAAACCCTATGAACCTGGAGAGAGGATGAAAGGCACCCAAGTGTCGAGGACTCTCCTTTATAGGGTCGCTATGAGTCGCCTGCGACTCGATGGCACTTAACAACAACAACAACACACTTAACTGTTCCCACCTCTTTTCCATCTGTTCTCCTTTAAGTCCACTCTCGCCATGTTATAAATCCCACCAGTCCACCGGGACTGTCTTTATCAAGGCCCCCAATAATCTCTAGGGAGCTCCGGTGGCCTAATGAGTAAGTAGTTGTGCTGCCAACCAAAGGCATGTTGTTGTTCGAATCCACCAGGTGCTTTGAGGGAGAAAGATGGGCAATCTTCTCCATTGCAATTTACAGCCTCTGAAAACTCACTGGAGGATCAGATCAGCCATGAACTGGCTCTCACAAATTGGAACACAACAACAACAACAACAACAACAACAAGAATCATGTTAGGAGAAGAGGAAGAACCCGATTCTTGAACAAAACAGACTGAAAAGAGGTGAAGTAGAAGGAAAAACTAGGAGACTGTGAGAGCTCTGGTAGGGCTGGCCATTGGGAGATGCACTGCAACAATCTTCTCCAACAACAGCTACAATAATGTTGCCAATTCCAAAAGCCACTTCTCAGTTTTCTTTTACTTGACCTTTCAGCGTCAGTGACCCCTGCTTCTTCCATAGCCACTTTCTTCACTTCTCTCACGTCACTGAGTCAGAGTTGACTGGATTTCTGAGGCTGTAAATTTCCTGGAGGAGACTGTTCATCTTTCTTCCATGGAGTCGCAGGTGGATTTGAGCAGCCAGAGAGATACGGCCTTTGGGTTAGCAGCGCATCTCCCTATGGCCAGCCCCACCAGAGCTCTCACAGTCTCCTAGTTTTTCCTTCTACTTCACTTCTTTTCAGTCTATTTTGCTAGAGAATCAGTTTCTTCCTCTTTTCCCAAACTTCTGGACAATGGGGTAAGTCAGGGCTCTCAGGGTGACTTCCTCTCTACACCCATACCTACTTTGTTGTTTTTGTTGTGTGCCATCATGTTGTTTGCAACTCATAGCAATCCTATATACAACAGCTCTGAATCCTGCTCTATCCTGTGCCAACCTGATTGTGACACACCCACCCCCCAATGCCCCAGTCACTGAATCAATCCAAATCATCCAGAGTCTTCCTTGATGTCCTTCTCTGAGGACTGGCCATTCCTGGCAACATGCCCAAAGTGTGTCTGATGAAGCTTCAGAATCCTTGCCTCCAAGGAGCAGCCTGGTTTCACCCTCTCTAGGATGAACCTGTTTGTTTTCCTAACAGTCCATGGCATAGTCAATACTCTTCTCCAACACCACAGCTCAAAGGCATCAACTCTCCCTCTATCAGCCCTAGTCATCGTCCAGCTTTATGATGCATAGCAAGTAATTGTGAAGACCATGGCCTGGATCAGGTGCACCTTAGTTTACAGACTGACATCATTGCTGCTCAGCACTCTCGAGAGAGAGGTCCATGACAGCAGATTTTCCTAATGCAATTCGTCTTTTGATTTCCTGGCTGCCGGTACCAAGAGTGTTGATTGAAGAGCTAAGCAAACTCAAACTGTTAACAATCTCTTCACTGTCTTTCATGATGCTGCCAATCAGCCCACACCTACATAACAAATAAAAATCCACTGCCTTTGACTGAGGTGATTCCAATGCATGGCAACCCTCCACAGAGTTTCTGAGGCTGCAAATTTTTATGGGAGAAGACTGTCCATCTTTCTCGAGTGGCTGGAAGTTTTTAACTACCAGCTTTTCATTATAAGCTCAATACCTAATGCACTAGGCACCAGCACTCCTTCACATCAATATATATCCATCTGTGTACTGACAATTCACAAATCAGACCTCCAGCTTAGACCTCTTACCCAAACTCCAGACTTACATATCTGATGACATGTTCATTATCATTCCTTGGGTATATAATATACTCCTCAAATCCATTGAGGCTAAAAGAAAACTCCTAATGTCCCTTCCTTCCAACCTGCTTCAGGTGGTCTTCCCATCTCAGCCATGAGCTGAGCCATGAGCTCTCAGCTGCTCAGATCAGTGCTATCCACTAGAAGCTAGTGCCAGACATATATGTAATTTTACATTTTCCTATAGCCACACTTGCTTGTTGTTATGTTGTGTATTAGAGAGTTAGAACCAACCCATCGCTGACCCTCCAGTGAGTTTTCTGAGGCAGTTACTCACACGGGAGGAGATTGTCCATCCTTATCCCACGGAGCAGCTGGTGGCCTTGATTGGGATTGCAGCACAGTTTCTTGCCACTAGGCCACCAGAGCTCTCTCCACACATAACAAAATAAAAATAAACAGGTGGTGTTAATAATACACTTTCCTGACCGAGTGGTAAGGAATTGTGTTGCCAGCCCAAAGGTGGTGTGAGTCCACCAGCTACTCCACTGGAAGAAGATGGGGAGTCTCTTCCTGTGTGATTTACAGATTCTGTCTACCTGCTGGAGGGTCAGCTATGGGTTGGGTTCCACCTTGATGGCAGTGAGAGTTTCTCCTTTGGAATCTGATGTTTAACATGCTGATTCAGACCTGCCACCTTTCCCATGCTCTGCAGCCACACATGGCCAGCGGCTGTCATACTGGGCAATAGGCTTGAACAGAAACTCTTGACAACACCCTTGAATACTCTTTTCCCTTGCATACTCCACAGTCAGTTCAACAGTTTATCTTCAAAACATAACCAAAAAACCCAGCCACTTCCCATCCCCTGCACTACCATTACTCCAAGATCTCTCATCTCCTAAGTGTTTTCTCTTCTGTCGTTTTGACCCTCAACAGACTATTCCAAACATAGCAGCCAGAGGAAACCTTTAACATGGAAGATAAAAGCTTTCTAAGAGCAAATGTCCCTACAAAGCCCAACTTGTTCCTTTGCCCCTTTTTCCTCTCTGATGTTGTCATTTCTTGCTCACCACTCCTCTCACTCTGCCCCTGCCACACTGTCCTCCTTGATGTTCCAGAATCCACCTCTGCATGGACACCCCTCTCTCCCCATAAAGCCTCTGTTCTGACCATTTTCTCTGTTTGGAACTTTGCCCCAATATCTTCACAGCTGATTCTCACCTCCTTCAAGTTTGTTTGCTCAAGTGTTACTCTCTTGATGCTCTCACACCACCAGTGAAAAATTTCAATCCCCTTATTCGCTTATTTGTTCTATTTTCTCCATGACTCTTAACACATTTTAACATCCTATTCAACTTATTTATTGCTTCTTGTTAACTGATGACTTCCCCACAATGATAGGATTTCGGTCTATTTGATTCACTGATCTATATTAAGCAATATCTCACAGCACTACGTGTTCAAATAAGTATCTGTGGGATGAAAAGCACTTCTCCTAAATTTTAATTCCATATCCATTTGTTGGTTAACTTGTTTTATTTCTTCTTTGCCTGAGTCACGGGCTGTCCAAGGACAGGGCCATGTGTGTTATACTTACCCTGTATCTTCAGTGCATGTACGTGAACATTTGCTGAATAGTTAGTTGGATACATGGCTGACACCAGTTCAATGGCTTCCAAAACTTTCCCTCTCCCTTTAGTTGTCACCCTTCTAAGCACTTACCTGTGTTCAACTCTGTCCTGACAGACACCTCTGCCCTCTCTTCGGTCAGGGGGTCCTGAGACCCCCACAGGTTGGACACCATAGTACAGGCAACCAGGGTCCATGATGTGCACTAGTATGGACAGAAGGCAGAAGACAGGAAGGAGGAGTCAGGTGGGAGGCCCCCAAGGGTGCTGTCCTACTTCCCTATCCCTTGATACCCACCTACCTGTGCCTGTTGTAGGCCTGAGGGCAGGGGAGGGGGCAGCTTTCTGAGAGCTGTCTGGAGCACTGAGGAGGGAAAAGCCTATAGATTATCAGAGGAAAGTGGAGGAAGAACAAGCCCTCATGTCCTATTCTTTCTTCCCTCTTAACACTCCACCCTGCTGTTCCCATTCCAGTACTGGTTCCCCAGAAACCAGTCCTACTCACGTGTCCTGAGTTGCTTGTGAGCCACCTCGTAAGTCCAGGCCAAAGTAAATGGCATTGGGCACCATCTCCATAGTATTCAAGGCCGAAGACTGCTCAGAAGAGGAGGTAGGGAGAGGAGGGGACCTCGGACTACACTCAGGGCTCCTGGGAACTTCTGCTCCCCGAAGGGCTGGGCTCGGTACAGGCCTCTGGGTGGTGGCAGAGCCACTAAGCCCACCAAAAACCGTCCTGGGCTTGGGCACAGGCTTGGTGTTCTGGGATTGGGGATCTGAACTGGAAGATGGCTCCATGGCACTGTCAGATTGAGAATCCAGGGAGCCCGCTGTAGCACCCGCCTGCAGCAGGCGCAAAATTCGTTTCCGGTGCCCTGTGGCGCTGATGCCCAATTGCTTCAGCTCCTCGTGGCCCAGGCCCCGAGCTGCACCCGCGGTAGCCAGGCCATGCCTCCGGAAGGTGTCTGCATATTGCTCCAGGTGCACCGTGGCCAGCCACACAGCGATGTCCAGGTCCTGAGGGGCAGCCATGGGGGCTCAGGCCATTGCTGGGGGAAGGGGCAGGGGGAAGGGAGGGCTCAGGCTGAGATTCCCCCTCCCTGTCCCAAAGTTTGAGGCCTGAACAGGGGATAGCAGACTCCAATATTCCTCCAATCTGAAAAGAGATCTTAAAGGCAGGGAGCCCACCATTCCAGATGAGCAGAAAAGGCTCTTGTAGGAAAGTACCTTCATTTATGGGCAGAACACTGAGAGGTAGAGTGGGAAAAGGCCTTCTCCCAGGCTTATAAATTAGCGGAGGGTAGTCCTTGTACCCATCCAGATCTAGTCAAGGTTCTGCCCTTCCATTACTGCACACACAGTGAGGTACACATGGGACAAAATACGTGTGCGTGTGTGTGTGTGTGTGTGTGTGTGTGTGAGAGAGAGAGAGAGAGAAAGAGAGAGAGAGAGAGAGTGTCAGAGAGAGAACAGACTGGTGAATAGGTGTGTTTGAGGGAAGGATGGGGCCTCTGGAGGGTCCTGACCCAGATGTAGCAGAGCTGATGAGAGGGGCAGGCAAGGTAGGAGGCCAGATCTTGGTTTCTCCACTGCTGCTTGCCAGAGTTGTGATGCAGGTTTGGCCATCCTCATCCTGCTGTTCCCAGTTCCCCCTCCCCTTCCACCTATTGTCTCTGCTCTGACTTCCTTCCTGTCCCTCCAGTTCTGGCCGCCTCACATCCTGCCTGCCCTGGTCATGCTGCCCAGAGAGCCTAAGCCTGGATATGTGGATTCTAGGCCCTGGGCAGAGGGCACTTAGGGTAGGAGGGGGGACACCAGGCCAGAGGGATGTCAGGGCTGTTTTAGAATCTGGCTTCTCTCCACTTCTACAGTCAAGGCAGCAAGGGCATGTGCACATTGGGGTGCCTATTCTATGAAATGGCATCCCCCCTTTTATGCTTCTGCCCTGGAGTCAACTCCTTGGGTCCATTCTGTCAGCTTTTTCCTGTCCATTCTCTGGGCCTATCTCTGACTCTATCTCCCCTATGTTTCATCACTGCCCTACCCTGTCTCTGTCCCAACCACCTCTGAGATTAATTTTAAACCCATCTTTGTCCGCCTTTCTGTCCCCACTCTCTTTCTCTATCATTAAACCAGTCCTTGCCTCCATCTCCAATCCATCAGTGTCTCTCGCCTCCATCCGATCCGGATTCTGTACTTTTCTGACTCCCTGAATCGGGCTCGCAGGGTCCCCTCAGTGTTTATCTCCCCGGGATTTGGCCAGGATCCCCTCTCCGCCCTGGCACCAGACCTGGCCTCTCAGTACCCCATTCCCAAGCCCTGACCCGGTGCTCATTCTTGGATTTTTATTCCCAGCCCAGTTTCCCAGTGGCTCAAGGATGGTTTGAGGGTGCAGGACTGGGTGCCTGGAGGTTCCGGCCGAAAGGAGTGCGGGGGCGGGCGAAGGAGGGGTGAGTTGAAGGGGGCAGAGCCGGACAACGGCCACGAGGGGCGGGCAGCGGCGGAGAGGCCGGGGGACCCACGAAAGCGCTGTGCGAGGCTCTGGGGAGGAGTCTGGGAAGCAGGGTCTCGGGGGTGCGGGGGTCCTCACCTCCCTTGGCGGCGTGGTCCGAGCCCCGTGCCGCGCGCTCCGAGCTCGGGGTCCCAGGGAACCGGCCCCGCCTCCCCTGCGCCCTCCCCACGGCCGGCCCCGCCCCGGCCGCTCGGTTCCTCTGGGGGCCCCGCCACTCCTTGTGCAACGCGGGCCTCACGGATCCGTGCCCCTTACCCAACCCGCGCTTATCTCGGCCCCAGCCTGGCTTTGCAGGACGGAGGCCGAGAAAGGAGCCGAGCTGGGGTCGGGGAGGGACAGACAGACGGGAGAGAGGGACAGACTCCCGGAGACTAGGGCAGACTGGGGTCGGGCAGAAACCGGGGAAGCGAGAGGCTGCCGAGGACGATTTTGCATACCTTCGGCCTCTCTCCCACTCTGGTCTGGAAAAAGGCAAGGGTGGTCCTAAAAGTGCCCGGCCATCTTTCCCATGCCCAGCAGGGCATCGGTTTAGTGGGGGAGGCTGTCAGGGATCTAGATCTAGGGTGTTAGGGATAGCCACCGCCTTCAAACCTGAGAGCCTCTCTCTGGAGTTCCCAACAGCTCCTGCCTCCCCAGGGTAGAGATGGACGTCCACAAGGCAACATCTCCACTCCCAAAGCGGGATCTGAGGCTGCCTTCCGGGGGATTATAGCTGGTGCTCTTCAAGTCGTGGCCAAGAAACCTTCTTCTCTCCGGAGGAGAACGCTCCTTCCCAACTATATCAACCCAGAATTGCAGGAGTTTCGGGACCTCAGAGGCTCCCTCCGCCGCCCCCACTTTGCATAGGAGCCCCAGCCTGGAGCCTGTCCCCCAGGCCCCAGGCACTTCCCCCTCTGAGCTGGTCAGGGTTGAGCCGCTTGTGATGTTGGGGGTGGGAGGGTCGCTGGCCTGCTGTGTTTTCCTGTTTGTATGAGAGGAAGTTGGTTGTGAGTCAGCAGACACAGGAACTGTCAGAAGCTAGGTGAAGACCCCTTCCTCTGGGGAAAGAGTGGGGAAGTGGTTCCCATCTATTGCTGCTGCCCAGTTGGGGGGAGGTCTGGTCATCTTCAACCTCTTGGGCCCACTTCCTCAAGGCCTTCTCTTTGAGGAAAAGAATTATGATAATATTTAATTATTAAAAAGAACATAATAACGGCCTCCAATTATCAGACACTGGCTGTTTCAGGCTCTTTGCAATGTTCAATTCATCCTCTCTATAACTCTGCTAAAATACGGAGTTTTATCACCTCTATTTTAGAGATAAGGAGACACAGAGCATTACACAGCTCAAGGACCTGCAGCTAGAAAATGGCCAGCACTCCAAGACCACACATCTTAACCCCGGAGCTCACCATACAATCCTAAACAGAAGCTCTGTATCAAGCATCTGGGGAGGAGAGTCCAGTCCTTTTCCTGGGTGGACAACTGTGGTGGCTATAAGAATGGTCCTCACACAACTCCAAACATAGAGTGAAATGGACCAACAGGACCAGCTGCTTCCCTCAGAAATCCATCAACTCCAGTATCCAGGCTCCTGTGAGACCACTGGGCTCCCAGCCAATGGCCAAGGGCAGCAGAGATTCTAAGGCAAGCACATTCCACAGAGATAGAGAATTTTTCAGGCTCAAGAATTTCCCTATCAAGGTCTTGCTGAACTTTCCTTCAACTGTGTGTCAGTCTACAATGTTTCTCTCATCTTCCTCCCCTGAGGGTCAGACTTGCTGTGCCTTCTGAAGGTTGTCCTTGGCCCTGGATTCCTGCCCATTTTCTCTCATAGTCATGCTATTTGTTGTAAAGTCTACTCAGACTTATGAAAGCTATTTGCTTTAAAGTCGGCTCAGACATGAGAAAATCTGTGTGTGCAAGTGCGACACCATGGTTAATAGAACTTTCAGCAATTGCTTTTTTGGAAACAGAGCACCAGAACTTTTGATGTGGTGCTGGATAGACTTGAAACTCCAGCCTATCACACCACCCAGGGACTCCCTCCTCATCAACTCCCCTTGCAGAATCTGAGCACATTTAATATCACCCTGGCATTTACTCCCGAAAGGAGTTAGACAACAACAGGGGCCAATAGGAGCTATGGGGCTGCCGGTCAGGGAGTAGATCTTTTTTGTGTTATGCTTCCCTTTGACAATTTGGTTAAAACCTGTGGATTCCAGCTCAGAAAAATGCTTTAAAATGTAAAATAAAATATATAGTATTGGAAAGGAAATAATGTGGCAATACAGTTATAAAAATATTTTACATGTAAATGGTAGTATATATGCTTCTTTATTAGCCTTATGTAACAAAATCTGGAGGTACATATTTTGAAATAGTGATGAGCATAGATGATATTTCTTTTTATAAATGATACTTTTAAAAACCTGCAAGATGATTGTTGTTTGCCACTGAGTCAGAACTTGACTCATAGCTAATCTTCCAGCAGACTTTCAAAGGTAAGCTAGTAATACAGTGAAAGACTATCCTTCTTTCTCCCAAAGAGCAGAGGTGGATATGAACTGTCTGCCCTTGGGTTGGCAGCACAACTGAGCCATGGGCTATTGTTGAAGAAAATGCTAAAAGTCAGAGGTTAGTGGAAATATTTGTAACCTCTCTATTTATTTTTGTTTCTTAGTGCTTCTGTATAAAAGAACTATAAACCTGGTGGCTTAAAACAACAGAAATGTATTCATTCTACAGTTTAAGATGCTTTGTTGTTGCTGTGGGGTGCTGACACTGTTGTTCTACTAATCCAAAGGTAGTATCTCTCTGGTGATTTGAACCCACCAACAACTCAGTGGGAGAGAGATGGCCACTGTCCTGTGCAATTTATAGTTTCAGAAAACCCACCAGAGAGGGTCAGCTATGAATCACTTTTTATTGAATAGCAATGAATTTTTTTTCTATAATTATATTTTATTAATTTTCATAAACATTTACAGAGATTTTGGGCTTCCACTCATTCATTGTTGCATTATTCTCTCTACCCTCTTCCCAGTTTGTTCTTGTCCAAATGCCACAGTGCTTGTCAAAGCCAGTTCTGATCAATCTTCTTTGTCAGTGTATCCTTTGCCATTCCCTATCACTCCTCCCTGAGAGAGACTTCACCCTGAGTCTTAAGGAAAAGGGCACGGCGTATTCTCTTAGCTACTTCCTGCTGAAAAGGGACGCTGTGGGTTTCAGGGTGAAGATCTTCTCTCACTACTCTAAAGGGCCCCTTTGGCAGTAGGAAACACATAGACTATTATGGAGATTGATTTTGGAATTCAGATGCACTCTTATTGATTGTGCTTGGCTGTACATGTACATATCCTTCAAGATGTATCATGGGGGTGTTGCAACCTAGAAGACACAAATTTGACTAACAAGTTATAAGTACATGAGTCCAAAAATTATGGAAAAGTAAAAGAAAAGATTCTTTCATTGTTTTACAAACCCTCCCCCAGGTCCCCTCCGCCATGTAGCCCTCGCTCTAGTCTCCTGTGATGACAGA